TGTAATGGTCATGAGATTAAACAAGATATGTCTGGGAATTACAGAGGTGTCCTCATCTAACAGCCCACGCACTCCCAACTCAACAGTATGTGGTGGGAAACAGAAAAAGATTCCTACAATACAGTAACGTAGGGCTGGACCGTGGCATACAGTTCCTAAAGACCAAACCTAAAGAGGCTTTTATTCCCCTCAAGTGAGGACTACAGCACCACAGGGGAAAGGGAACATGATGGTAGTGAAAGTCTCTTAAGATGTTATATAAGAGCAGAAATATTCCTCAGCAGATAAAAGCCTTCCTATCAGCCACCTCCCCATGCTGATTTCCTTGTGCGTTCACACTCAAAGAAGCCCTTTGATAAGCACATTAGATGGAACGGCCCGGACACAATGGTGATGTCATGAGGATTAGCACGGTACCTTGCTTAGTGCAGCGACGGGCACAAGGGCTAATTCACAGCACTGCAGGGCGACAGGGGCAGGGGACCCGGCTGAAATGAGGTGTGGGGAGGCCGCCGCACAACGAAACGGTTAAAATATAGCCTCTGTGTACTTTAGGGGAACAAGCGTGGATTAAACATTCATGACGGGCTCCAGTTTATTACGCTACAAGCTGTCTTTGCCATGGAGGGGCCTGTATCAGCGCTGTGGTGCAGGTCAGGCGGTGCTCCGCTAATAGTGAAAAGCTACTTTAAGTATAGCCGTTTCCTGTGATTCAGGAAGAGAATACAGAAACAGCCTCTTCATGCCCTCCTTTCAGCCATCTCTCTCTCTCCCCACCCCCCGTCTCACAATTTTGAAGTTGAGCTTTTATACCTAACCACTATCTTTCTCCTTTCACCCTGCCTTCTATTCACGTACAGTAGCGTACAGTACATGAATAACTTACATGCAGAAGAAAACTCTATTGACACCGGAGAGGGAGAACATCAGAATGAAATGGTTTTTCAAGACTCGCAGCAGCGGAGTAAATTGCTTGTGCCCATTTCACTGAAAGTACTTCTCAAGAAACAGGTGATGTAGGTGGCTTATGCAATGGTTGCGGTTTTATTTTTAACCCGTGGATTGTGAATATAGTGCTTAAAAGTAAAGCTAAGGTCCAAAATTGAGCACAATGATGTAAAAAGATAACATCTGATGACACAGAAAATATTTTCAGTATTTGAGTATTTAAAGCACAACCCATCTCTTTGTGCAGAATTACATTAAATATATATATATATGTACACACACACACACACACATATATATAATCAAATTAAAGTACAATGCAAGGTTACCTTCCAGTGCTCTATAGCCTCCTGTACTGAACACGCACTGCAAACCTGAGAAGGCAATTACTGTGCTGAATGTTTCCCATGGTAACAGCCAGGTTAATAGTCAGGCCTCAGATGGAGATGACAGATAGATGTTTTCTTTGACACAAGGAAGCTTCAAGGCCTCCTGCAATGGAAAATACTTTTTAAGAGAAGTTCAAGTATCATATAAGCAAGAGGACGGACACACACAGATGAACACACAAACAATAGTGTGCGGTGGGTTTTGTCGTCAGCCACTCAGAGTCTCATTTTTATTTGAAGAGCCAAATTTCTATCAATACAGGTTTGGACTGCTGTGAGAAAATAGCAGCTGGCCTTGTTCCCACTCATCTTTGTGAGCCTCTCAGGGCCCTGTGAATAGATTACACAAGTTCCCTTGTCTATACTCTTTGTGACTCTCTCCCGCAACAAACAACCCATATCTTTCATGAGACATGCTACTGAAAATCCCAGCCTTTGCTGTATTCACTCCCAGCCAACTATACTTTCCAAAGTACAAACCCCACAGCTTGATTCGACATTTGAGAGGCATTTTAAAGCTGCTTTTATCAAAGTATTTGTAATGGGAAAAAAGAAAACTGCCTTTTCCCCGATTGTGCAGCTAGTTTTCCCTTTTTCCTGTTCAGAACGCTGCAGCGTCTGGAACAGTGTGGAGCAGTGACATGTAAGAACAAAGCTGATCTGGGGCTGGGTGGCCTTCAGGGCTACATGCGGTCCCTGCTATGGCCATGTCTCTGTGGGGCCGCTTCTGATTGGCCAGCATGGGGAGCCAGGTCTTGACAGGTGTTTGAAAGAGGGGCACCTGTTTGGCCATGTGCTGATTTAGTGATCCATTTACTGAGAGCTGTGGGCAGCGTCTGTAGGGCACCCAAAACATGCCAAGTCATTTAAAAAAAGAATTACAGTCATGCTTTCCCTTGTCTTCAGTATTATATTCATTAGAACGCCACAGAGATGATTAACTCTTGCACACCACATGTTGTGCATGCACAGCACCCTCATTGCATCTTTTTTTCGAAGATGATATGCATTGAAACGACTCAAGTCATGTATCACAGAGCATGTCTGAGCGCTGCTTGCCCTTGACTGCTGCTATTTGGTTCCTGCTCACCCACTGTGCTGCTGCAACCCCTCCCTAAATGGCTCGGGCCAGTGGGTGTGGTGTGCTGAAGGCTGGCCAGGCTTGTTGTGAAAGTAGAGCCGCCCTGCCCATCTCGCACAGCCGTGCCCGACCAGTCCGACCAAGATATTCCCATAATGAGCAGGTTGGGACTTAAATTTGCAGGTTGAGATCAGATCTTTGGCTCACTGGTGGAGAAAGTGCATAGTTTAACCCCAGTAAACACAGGCCTTTCAGGACCCTAACTAAAGAGGGTTCGTTCAGTAAACAGGAAATGAACCAGCAAGGCGTTTTCTTAGAATGAGAAGAATGCCTCTGCTCTCTACCACACCAAACAGTAATGCATCTGTGGTACAGTGCTGGTCATTCATTATCCAGAGGACTTCTCTCTCTTGCTCTCCTCTGGGCATTGTGGACACTTATGTTTGAAGAGATGTGGGTGCTTTTCTGAACTTCCTTATTTCTATCTCAGCTGTGCACAGCATCACAGTTCTGTCTGTACATTGCAGATTAGCATAGTTTTTGTGTCTCAAGATATACATCCCTCTAAAAAAAAAACAAAAAAAATGCATGCATGTGAATACATAGGGATAGAATGAGCAGTTAGGGATGTGGCGTCATCTGGTTTTCATGAGCAATGGCATTACACGGGGAGTTTCAGAAAACCATGCTACAGCCATGGTTTTAGGAAATGTGACTTACACTGAGGTTGTGGTGAAGAGCGCAGGGTTAGCCGCATTGTCTGCACAGACCTAAACGTACTGTCACATCTCTGTCAGAGGATGTAGCAGCTGTAGAAATACCCCCCCCTCCCCCGCCACATACACACAACGTACAGACATTGCACATACGCACCACACTCTCCCACTCGTATAGTTTCTGTTTCTCTCTTTTTTTTTCTCTCTCTCTCTCTCTTTCACTCACAAACACACACACACACACACTCATTTTCCACTTTGCCGGGTGATGAAGACCAGAAACAGAGAGTAAGGTCTCATTAGTGTGTGTAGGTTCCTCTCCTCTGGCTCACACTCTGACCCCTTCATCCACAGGAGTCAGTGACCTTCCTGTAGACACGAGGCCTCCGAGGCAGCCCACAGACAGGGCAGGGTGCTGCTGTGGACCTGCAGCGGGCTGATAGAGGAGTCTTGAGAGCCACACATAAATCATATTTTGATGTACACTGCCTTGATATCACAAGCTGTCACATGCTGTCAGCAGGACTTGTTAACACCGCGATTCAGAGCTGTAATGAGGAGCAGAGAACAGCCTGTCTGAAAGTGAGCAAAAGAGCACAGCGGTGAATTTATTTGTTTAGCTATATAACACGTTTTTCCCCCTCTGAAGTTCGAAAAGGCCCTTCATAACCGCACAGTACGCCACGCAATGTACTTATGAGCTCTTTGCTTTTATAATAATTGCCCAATTTCACGCACAAATAAGCATATTTCACCACATTTGATAATCCATTTCATTCCCCATATGCATTAACTTTGATAAGATCCCACAAGTGACAACCATACTGAATTACAGACTGGATGTGCTCTGTGTTGGATTGTCGTATGCAGGGTTTTCTTCCAGATGGGTGGCTTATGACAACTGAAATATTATAAAAAATGCAAACACACAAAGAGAAGGTAGAACAGACAGGGATGCAAGTAAAGGGGGGGACCAAGAAGGAGAGACAGGGAGGAAAGGGAAGGGGGACAATATTTAGTTTCACTGAACACTTCTGAAGAGTGAGAGGATATGGAGTGACATTTCAGTCTTCCCTTGTGTTGAACTACAGTTTATCTCAGCGTTGCCGTAGCAGTTGCAGCAAAAGAAAAGAAAAGAAAAAAAAACCTGAAGGATGAACATACAGTAGATGTTGGTATTTTTAGTTTAATTTAAAGTTTAGTGCTGTGCAAAAGTTGTAGGTACGTTTTCACAAATTAGGATGATTAACTTCAGCCAAAGTGCATAAAACTTAAATCACCACTGGGTGTACCACTTCTCCGAGGAGATCCTACAAAGAGTTTATGATGGCAGGCAGGTTGTTCCAAGCATCTTGGAGAACTTGCCACAGTTCCTCTGTGGATACAGGCTGACTCTGTCTTTTGTGTCTTCATGTGATCTCAGACTGACTCACTGATCAGGTCTCTATGGGGACCGTACCATCTGTTGCAAAACTCTTGTTCTTCTTCTTGTCACTGAAGATTGTATGTTTGTGATGCTATACTGTGAATTTGCGGCTGATCTTGTTTAATAGATAAGAATCTAAATGTGCCTAAAACTTTTGCACGGCACTGCATGGATATTAGGGAAAAAACACAGAGCCACATCTTGTATACTGTTTCTTTTCAACTGTGCAATTTCATTTCAGAAATTGAGAAACAAAGGCCATAATGACTGTGCTAGTCCCGATCCCGATGACTGTTTTGGGCACAGCCCCCTCATGGACGACCATTTCGGCAAACTAAGCGAAGACAGTGATTTAATGTACAAGCGCTGTGGTGTAAGTACTTTCTTTGTCCCCTGCTATTTTGTGTTGATTCCTGTCTTTATGTTGATGTTCACTACAGGCGCTAAACAAGAAAGAACACAGAGGTTGTGATAGCCCGGACCCCGATGCCTCATATGTCCTCACTCCTCACACAGAAGAAAAGTATAAAAAAATTAATGAGGAGTTTGATAATATGATGAGAAATCATAAAATCGTAAGTACTGTAAATGCAAATGTTCTTGCTTGGCTTTGTGGCACACAAGGATTTTTACTCTTTTTTTCATTTAACTTTTTTCCTCTTTTCGTTACCCCTCCAGAACCTCTCTTAACTTCTTTCAGAACTACTCTGCCTTAAGATCAATGCCCCCTTTACTGGGTGTGCACTTGTTTCTTATGTTGATTTGTTTTGCAGCTGATATTTTGGCACACCCTGATAAGATCACATTTCATTAACAGGTGAAATGTTGCATGCTTCTGCTAGAAAGATTACACCCGAGTATCACGGCCATGTTATCATAAATCAAACAGCAGCCATTACTTAAACACATCGGGAGCTTACAGTGAACACTTTGGGACTATTGTGAGTGTTTATCCTGACGAGCTGCAGTTTCTTTCTCAGACTCAAGCCTACTCAAGCTAGATGCCCAAGTCATAGCTCAAAAATGACAAATAAATTTAGCGTCATGTCGTTTATAATGCAATATTTACAGTATCTCCTTTCAAATCTTTATATTACCCCTCTCAGTGCATTCTAGTGTAAAATATCTCTTCCAGCGACAATCCCCCCCCCCAAGCACACCAACACTAAACTATTATTTAGCATCTTCCCTCTCCTTCATCAGGTTCCACACTGGCTAACCCTCTACAAATATGACATACATTTTGTGATCTTATCTTGCATGACAATATTGGAACTGTGCAAGAACATAGTGCTTACCAAAGCAGTTGTTTTCTCTATGTTCCTAACACGACGAGCACCGATTTGCCATTAACAAACTAATGATAGCACCCTACTGGCTCACTGGATAATGCTATGATGAACCGTTCTCACTGCCACCTGTCATTCTCACTTGCGCTTTGCACAGTCAGCACTTTGTGGGTAAATGCAAATGACTTTGTGAATCTTGTAGCTGTAAATCCCCACCACTGCTTTCTGATGTGCTGAGAAACACATGACACGACGGTGTTTCAAAAGGCAAAAAGTGTGTCTGTGGTGCTGACTGCTGCAATGCAAAAGTGATCACCTGAATGCATGTTTTTTTTGGATTTGGATTTTTGTTTTCTGTGATTTGTGTATGCTGCAATACTGTTGAAGATTCATGTATATTCTGTATGTATGATGTTCATGAAAATAAACTTCTTTTTTGATGGTTAGTAGTGTCCAAATGATGGGCAGAAATGTCCCTAAAATATTGTATACTATACTGTTATATATATATTATTATGTTATGTATAAAGCAACTGTCAAGCTTACAATGTAGTAGATCCCTTTGCAGTTCTTTAGTGTGCTCTGCCTGACTGTTATGTGAATCTATTAGTTTATTGTAGCTAACCCTCAAGGGGAGCTCTCTGTTAATGATGCCATGACAACCACTGACCCATCATAGTCATCAGACCTTGGATTTTCAATGTGCTGTGTGTAAATATTTGTGTGTTTGTCTCCCTCTTGTAGCCCACAGCATTGCCTCAGCAGAACTTCTCCATGCATGTGGCAGTGCCTGTATCCAACCCGAATGCCATGTACCAGGCAGGAGGGACTCTGGGCAGCCAGGCCCTGGCAGCGGCCACGGCCTCTCTGAGCGAGAGCGGGATGCTGTCCCCTCCACAGGCCTCTCTGCACAGGAATGTTGGCTCCAGTGGAGGTTCTCAGAGGCCCACCAGCGCAGGCAGTGCAGGTTAGTGGGTAACAACCCCAAAAAGAGATGAACTAATAATGGTGGTTAACACTGTTTGTCACTGTTTGTGTGCGAAAGTCAGAAATTTTGCTTGTAAGGAGCAGTTCGAGATTTGGGGGGAAATTACTGTTATTGACTTTCTTACCCAGAGTTAGCGAAGAAGATCAATGCTGCTTTCTGACTGGAGGCAGCGGGAAACAGTGAGTGCTGTGTCTCCAGTGATAAAAAAAGAAATTCAGTTTGTGTCAAAGACAGATTTATAAACTTTGTCCAGAGCGAGGCTTGTTGTTTCCCATTCCTTCCTCTTTAGGAGATTCGCCTCTTCGCTCTAGCTTCATACTTTGGCTGGAGTTGGCATCAATCTTCTCATCCAACTCTTTGCGAGAAACTTTTTTTTTTTGGCTATCTCTGTTGCCAAAAGAGTTTCCACTTTTGGTCCTAAATGGCGTCGGATGTAGGGGACCTAAGGTCAAGCCATGTCACGCTAACACCCTTTAATTGGTGTTTGCGTGATAAATTTTTTCACACCCTCTAAAATGCTCATCATCACACCTTTTACTGTATCAGCATTGTGGAAAAATGATGTCAGATGCTAGTACTTGTATGACTGGTCTGACTCAGTCGGTCCAGATGGCTTTTGCAAGATTCAGCTACACTGCATATGATGGAAGTACATGCAGCAAGGTGTGAAATGCCTCATTCAAAATTAACCACATATCAGAATTGGCTGACACCTACCTATTCACAGCGGGTTCACTAAATAGTTGTTCTTCAGAATAACTTCTCTTTCTTGATTATTCACTGCAAGGTCTGTATTGTTTTTTCTTGATTTTTATGATTCATATCAGATCAGCGTGTTTCACAAGCTAAAAACTGTTGAGGTTCAGGTGGCATTCTGGTGTTGTGTTCTTGGATTTAAGTGTATCTCTTAGAAACGTCAGCTGTTCAGGGAGACTCAAATAGATGCCTGACTTCTAGTAGAATGACTACCTCCTTGTCGAGTGTGCATCCACACAGTGGAATGCTGCGTTCACCGTCTCCAACTTTGCAAACATGCTGAACACAGCTTGATGTTGCTCTCTTTAATCATATATTGAAAATGTCCCCACCACGAGGACAGCGGCGGAGCACACGCCACCCTTTCATGTGCTGTGAAGATGGATCTACATGACATTTCCATGTCTGGTCTGCCATCTCCATCACATGCTCCGCGAGCTTGCAGAAGGATGCAGATGGTTAATCATCTCACTCTGTGCATCTCATTAGGTGGCATGCTGGATACCACAGACCTTTCAGTGCCAAGTGGTGCGGGCTCCAGCCCAGCGGGTAAGTCCTCCCGGAGAGATTCATTAGCTCTCTGTAGCTCTGCCCAATAGGCCTCCTGCTTAGCACACGAGCTGGATAGTTGCGTCTCCGTTTGTGATTGGTTCAAGACGGTTGTCGCCATCATTAGCTGATAGTACATTGGCCTGACTGTATTTTCTTTGCATGCAAAGAGAGCGCAGGTGTCCTCTCAACAGAGGAAGTTTGTGATATGCTTGTTAAATGCATGTTTGAGAGACAGGAAATGGCTCAACAGTACTCACACAGTGTGGTGTTTGTACTTGAAAAGGGTAACCAGGCGTGTCAATTAGCTATCCAACTGACTTCGGCAGGTAAATATACGCAGTGTTTCCTTTAAACTTGTCACCTCCATGTAGTTCTCCCTCCTCCTGTTTCCTTCCCTCTATTGACAGGTGCATCTGTTTTTCCCCCCACTGCCCTGGCAGCCCTTATAAGGCTGGAGAGGGTCTGTAAGATGCCTAGACCAGCATAACCCTGTAGGTATTCAGGCCATGTCATCCCACTAAGTCCTCAGTACACAATGACCGGACAGCCTGTCATGGCTGAAATGTGCTGTGTGAGACATGGAGGCAGGTGGAGTTTAACTCTTTCCTTGTCACTCAGCTTGTTGCACTCCATATAGTGTTTCTGGCAAAACGCAGCATGCTGTCATGAAACAGTTTGACATTCAATGATAATAACTAGTTCAAAACCTCAGAATTATATAGGCTTAAGCGTACAGAACACCTCAGATTGGTTTCCTGTCAGCATTTTATAGAGAGTGCTGGGTTAGTTTTTTAAGTTTGGGTGTGGTGCTGGGTCGGGGTAGAGTTAGGAGTCTTTACCAGGGGGCGTCAGCGTTTGGCACAGTGCGAGCATGCTGCAGCTGTTGTTTGTACCAAGTGTGTAGAAGAGCAGAGACTACAGGGACGACTAACCTCTCCAGCCCTGATGTCAGATGACCATTCCTGACATAGTTCTGATTTTTCACAAGTAGCAGCTATGACCACAGCAGAAGCCTTTCAAAGTGGCCAGATGGAAGATGTGCCATGTGATATCTTCTCTCCTGTTTGACAGTGTCACCGCAGGGAGAAGACGACACGCATGTACAGCAAGGTTCAGTGAAATACTGACTGTTTTTTTTGGTTGTTTTTTGTGGAAGGAGGCAACAACTGCTGCGATTGTGACGGACAGCTTTTCTAGTAGTGGGATCTAGTTTATTTATTAGCTGTTTGTGTAGATTTCCTGCCTTACAAGCATACGTACGTGCATGTACAATACCACAGCGAGCATTATTGGCAACATTTTCTGGCAAACACATCTTAGTTGTTCTTTCTGAAATAAGCCATCTGTTGTTCTTGTCTAGTCTCTGGTTCAGATAATAGCTCAACAGCTAATACACCTTCAAAAACAACTTCTCTTTAAGGCTCATTTCATACTACGCTGTACTGTGTATGCTCCAGCGTGTAATACATCCTTTCTCTCAACAACTTACTACAATTACACCTAATTACAAGCTCTGGTCCTCGAGTGGTAGAGAAAGATGTGGTGAAAAGGGAGGATTTAAGAGAGTGCTCGCCGTTATGCAATGTGTCTGCAAGATGTACGCATCCCTTCATTAATATTGGAGCATTACAAGCTCTTAAAACACATTTACAAAGCACGTTTGCGTATATGTTCAGCAGACATCAGTAATAAAGTAGGTAATGCTGAAGCTGCATCAGGTCTGATTTATTTTTATTTTTTATTTTTTTTGTAGTTTTTGATTTACTAAAGCTGGCTTAATATGAAGAAATGTGTAAAAGTTGGAGGTCAATTAGAAAAAAAAAAACGTGAATATGTGTGTCAGATTTTAGTTAAATAATAAACAGTTATTTACCTGGTTGCCATCTGCCTTTAGTCTTAACAAATCACCTTTGGGACATCCTGTCTGGAATTAGCTTTCTGAGACACAACAACGGGACCGAGTGTGACATCTATTATTAGAAATAGAAATAGAAGGGCTCTTGATCTGCAGCTATTTCTTCTCATTCATTAGAATATTTTCTCTTTTTGCTGGAACCTGAGGCATGTGGGATGTTGGGCACAATAAGTCGCTGTGTTGTCTTTCCATGAACTTAAAATGAAAACTGAAGGTTTCTGTTGTGAACACAAGGCCTTATGTAATGCCCCTTTCCCAGACCGTGTTAATAATTCAGGACAATGAACAGAAAACCAAACAGCTTTCAACGTGCACAGGCTTCAGTCAGAGAGGATTTACTGGCACAACCAATCTGTTAGAGAAGTTTGAATATAGAATGAGGGCAGACATCAGAAAAGCCCAATGAAATGTCCCTGCTGAAGGCTGGGTCTTAACTTGTGGCTGTTATCTTGGCTCAGAATTAACTTTGTGGTATTTGTTCAGACATGTGTTCCCTTCTTGCTATTTATTTGAAAGACTTATTTGTTTTACTCATGATCAGACATCTGAAGTTATAATCAGACACTCAGTCCACAAATAAGCCAGTCAGGTGGGTTAATCCAAGTCTAAATTAGCCGGTTAACACAGCACCGAGTGTCTGTCTTTGCCCTGTGATGAAATGGCAGATGACGGTGTGACACATTGTCTTCAGCCCAGAGTGTTGTTGTAAACTCGAGTTTATTATAAATGAAGGGATGAAAGAAAATGACTAAAATATTAATAGATACAGCGTGACTATATTCCAGTTTTGTCATCTGGATTACTAAAGCAACAGTTACATGCTCTCTGTCATCAGGTGAAACATGCTGTGTAAGCTTTTACACATGCACAGTTATTCATGTTTATATATTTTGGAATATTTTCAGGTAGAAAATAATTTAATAAGATTTTCTTTATTTCTGGCAGCTGTGACCTGCACTAACAACATGTAAATAATATAATAATTTTATCATGGTTCACAGTTAATACAGAAAGAAAGAATATTAGATCATTTAGATATAGAAACCATATTTATTCAACTTTTTCTTTCATACAAATTACTGCATTTTAACAATTCTTCTATTAATGTCATTAAAAGATTTCTGATGTATTCTAAAGCTAAGCTAGTTTACTCCAGATGCATGATTGCAATTTACACATATGCTGTGTGTTTAGTGTCCTGTTGAGACGGGCACACGGTAGAATTATAATCTAACCTACATAGAGCAAGGTGTTATGGGTAACCATAGGTCACATAAGCTCACGGAGCAATCAGCTGAACACTCAACAATGATTTGAGTGGAGCCGAGTGTCAAGCAGCCTGATTGGTTGATCCCCATACAGTCAATTAACGGCATCAAAACAGAGAAGAAGACAAAGCGAATGTGCGTACAGTGACCGCGCTGATGCTTAGCAGATGTGAGGTTCACCATGTACGTAATTATAGAACAGATCGTGGCGTGTTGTGTTGACATGCTAACGTTGGCTAATTAGCTTAGACTGGTGGGAGTATCCTGAGTTTTACATTCATTTGGTCATAAATCAAAGCCTGGTTGAAAAGTCAGCGGATTGTGTTTCATTTTCTGTCTTTAGCATAATCTCTTACGGCACTGTAAAGTTTAGGACGGCTCATTTTTAGCTCGACAACTGAAACCAGTGCATTGGCCACTGCATCTATTTTCCCCAGAGCTAGAATTGTGGATCAGTGTGTTTGAGTTGTTTGTTTCCCATTTACAGAGCCGGGACTGTGTACGAACACCAGACTTTTTTTCCCCCATTGCGCACACAGAGTGAACAGCTGGCAGGAGATATTCAGTATATTTAACAGGAATCGTATTGGATAAGAATCGCATACTCCACCTTTAAGATTAAATCGAAAACCTTTTTTGTGTGTGTTGGAATATGTCTTTTTGTATTATTTTTCATATGTGCCACATGTTTGGAGTATCACAGTAAGAAAAACAAACTAACTAGCTAACCCTAGCTTAGAAAAAAAGTATGAAAGAAGCATGTGTCATCTGTAACATTAGCAAAATATTATAAGTGGCAGTAACTTTGCGGAGCGGTTGCGGCTCAGGAGGCAGAATAGGTCATCTGCTAATGACAGGGGCCGTGATTCCCTGCCATAAGTCAAAGTGCCTGTTGCGAAAACGGATCATTTGTCATCTTCCTTTGTCTTGTTTTTCTCAACAACAGTTTTGTGTTTTGGGCAGACCTTTTGTTTAAGAAACTCCTGCCAAGTTGCCACACTAGAATCAAATCTTTTTGCATGAAATCGTATTTGCACTAACTTCTCATTCCCACTGAATGACATCTTTGCTGCTTTTAATCAGGCCCTGCTATTTTTAGGGCCTTGGACATTTACTCGGCTAATTCTGTAAACATTGTTTTCTTGCAGAAGCCAAGTTTTGTATGATCAAAGCCAGAGCTGATGGCGATAGCTGCTTGTATATACTGTTGATTCAGCTGTGAGATACTATTGTAGACTTCATAACTGTTTATTTGACCATGAATTGTTGCTCCCCTTATCTGTAGTCAGAGGGGCTATTGTTCCATTATGTTCCTACGCAAGAGCCTGCTCGTTGTGCACACTTTGTGTTTCACTGGGGTACACTGGACACAATGAAAAAGTCAGCAGCTTGTTGAAGTGTTACTGATCGGCTGATGTAGTTCTAGATAGCAGTGATTCTTTCGTCTCCTCGTTTTTTAGGATTTCTACATACTTTTTTGCGTCAAAGTAACAGATTCCAGTCGGGCTTACTTTATGTAAGTCCGGTTTAAAATTCAAGTGCACTCCAAGTATTACTTTTGTTTGGTTTTTGTTTTCATAACAATTGGACGCTCCGTTTTTATTAGAGTGCATTTGTGTGGAATCTGCAGAATCCCACTGCAGACCTTGTGCAGATGACTCATACAGTATCTTGCAGTTGAAAATAAGGTACTGTAGGTTGACAACAACAGGAAGAATAAATCTCTTTATGAAAAGTGTATTTAACAAAAAAAAAACCACACACACACCTGTCAGAATACCAGATGCAGACATTTTCCAGGGCTCTGACAAATGGTGGCAGTCGACTTTTGACACTGTGGTTTTGTTTTGGAATCATTCATTTTTATTTGGCAAACTATCAAGGACGAAACCTATTTCCTAAAATAGCTTCCTATTTTCTTTGTGTTTGTGCACAATATCCAAAAAGTGTATTACACAGTTTTTACAGAGAATATTTCTCAAGTTGTTTATTGAATTTAAATAATGTGATACTATTCATCCTTTTCAAGAGATGGACTGATGGAGAGGGAGTTCCTGAAATAAGTTGTGGGGACTTATACTCCCTTTTCGAAAGAAGGAAATGACTAACAACCACACCAAGGTGTGAATGCTGAGGGGAGAGTCTAGCACTTTGCCATTGTTTGTGTGCACAGTCTTAAAAACAACATAGAACTACATTTTATTGTTTTTTATTCAACTGTAATGGCTTCAGCTATTTCTTTTAAGCAGTCACAGTACATTTGTCAGTGAACTGCTCCTCATCCCAAGATGCAAAGATCTGGCTTTGATGTAATCATTCACAATAAAAATAAAAGGCTCATCAATTTTGAAATGGACATTTTATTTTTGTAAATGTGCAGGATAATTATCCCAGTCTATTAAAACTTCCCAGAGGGTTGGAAACACTTAACGCGGTGTGCTGCAGCAGGCTGGAAAACAACACGGTGCGAGAGGCTTGCTTGATGACTGGGAGTGTTGTCAGTCACAGTCCGTGGTTTGATGATGTGTTTGTGTGTTGTTGTGTACCTCTGCAGGGAATGGTTTTGTTAACCCCAGGGGCTCACCGGGCCTCCTCAGCACACCCAGCGGCAATGGCCTGGGTAAAGTCATGCCCACCAAGTCTCCGCCACCCCCTGGAGGGAACATGGGAATGGGAAGCCGCAAGCCAGACCTAAGGGTTGTTATCCCTCCATCAAGCAAAGGAATGATGCCCCCACTGGTGAGTACAGAGCACACCAGTGCACACAAGTATCACCAGCTAACGGACCTTTAAATATCTCCGCTGCAGGGCAGAGCAGAGCTTTGTTTAGTGTCTTTATCTCGACTTTCATAGCAGAGTGTTCTGCAGGATTTTGCCTACACACACTTTTTGATGTTATCACACCAGTGTAGCATGGTGTGCTCGTGAGGTGACAACCTCACTAAAGACTTTGTTTATCAGCCAAGTGGGAGTCACTAACAGTGTGTCAGGGCTGATCTGAGCAAGACTCCTCTTGTGCTGATCACCTCCATTAAAACGCGGACCGAGCCAAGAATCTGCAGCCCAGGTGTCATAACTCTCCTTCAATTATTCACATTTAAACGAGAGGCTTTCTCTAATTATAATAATGAAGTTGCAGAGCGCCCTGACCACAGCAAACACCTGAGGCTAAACTAGACTCTCCAAGTCATAAATCAAGCCTCAGGAAAGAAGAAAAAAAAAACTATAAGTGTGGGATTTTCAGACAGAGGACAGGAAATGCTGCTATTTCCAACTCTCCGTCTTGCTAGTGGCGTCAGTAAGAGGAGCCACTCCAGAAAAAAATGATTGTGTTTTGTAAATAAACCTCTCGTTACTGTGGGTGCTCCTCCTTAGCCGAGCCTCAACCAGCCTGGAGCGGTGTTTAAACAACTGTGTGTTACCATGTCTGCGTGTGGAATATGTAGAGCAGGACAGGTTGTGTTGAAAGAGGTCTGAAACAGGTTAGGCAGTGGTGGGAGGTCGGTTCAGATCTGTCTGAGCCAACGAAGCATTTCAGACCGGTACAGGCTGCGGAGGGTGCTGGCTGTGGCAGGTCTGCAGACAGCCTGTCATTAGGCCATAATGGTATTAAATTAATCACATCTCAGTGTGACAGAGTGTAGATGAAGACTTAATCAGGGGCCCAGGGTGTGAGCCAGATAATATCTTGTCGCCCTTGTCGTGTCTTCCTACCGCTATTGATTGAGTGTGGGTATTAAGAGCCCTGGCCTGGTCACAGTATGTCCCACAGCACAGGAAAGATGGAAGATGGGCCTCTCGTTCCTCCTCTCAGCACAAGGAGGATTTTAAGTGCACAGTGCTATGCAGTCGTTGTTGGTTTTAGAAGAGAAACTTGATCTGTAAGTTGATTCAGGTTGAATGGATGCTAGTCTATAGCCTGTACATTTCTTCTTCACGAGCCTCCGTTCAGAATTTGTCCGCTTCTTCTTCATCACTTCCGAGGTAAAAACCTTCCAGTCCGACAAACCATCACTGCAAAACTTCACGTTGTTTGGAAGATTGTGGCCACCTAAGAGTACTTAAATGCTATATAAAGGCAAGTTGACCGTGTGCCTTTGCTTTGTACAAAAAAAAAAAAAAGTGGGATTTTTACAACGACTGCAGAAGTCATCCGCAGCTTTATATTCTTCGTCGTCCCCTTTTTTCCTGTAAAGTCTTGAAAGCTGTCACTATTTTCTCCGAGCGATTCGAAAGTCGCTCTGCTCATTTTCTGTAACTCTCTTCTTTTCTTCTGTTGAGGGCAGTCGGAGGAGGAGGAAATGGATTTGGTGAGTTTTTTTGACAAATGCCTGGGCAAATGGCTGAAATGTGAACATGCTTCCGGTAATCACAGATGCTAGACTGAACGCCATGCTCAAAGTGGAGACTGGCTCTCAGGACTGCCAGCAATAAGAAATTAAGAGAAAAAAAAAAAAAAGAAAAAGAAAGAAAGAAAGGAAAAAAAAAACGTTTTGTCAGTGCATGCTTTGGGTTTGGCCTGTGAAAATTGCCTCAGCCTGTTAAATTGGCTCCTCTATTCCCAACACGTCAATATTAGTCATATACCACCAGGAGTGTGTGTGTGTGTGTATGTACGTGTGCGTGTGTGTGTGTGCGTGTGCGTGTGTGTGTGTGTGTGTGTGTAAGAGAGAGAGAGAGAGAGAGAAAGAGAGCAAATCAATGCTTAATTTTTTAAACTATCATATTTCCGTCACAGTTTGAAGTTTCAGAATTTAGAGAGTGATGAGCAAAAGTATAAATCATTTATATTTTTCTTTGCACAAGACGATTACATCATTCCAAATGATTTCACTCTGTGTGATGCTCGGGTTCGGTGAAGTCATCTGGCCGGAGAGTGTTGGAACAATGCAAGGAAGCCATCAACTAGATCATGATGCAATGCTGCTTCAAATGTAACCGCTGGCAGCTGTGCATATGTTTGTTACATTATACACCGAGGATTTGTTACGGTATTGTTCTAAACTATGTCTGCATTTGATTAGCGCAGTCGGGGAGTTAAATGCATTTTGTAGCTCACTGCGAAGTTTGTTTGCATGACCACACCAAGCTGTGTAGGTGTGTTTGCGTGGACTGCATGCCAGTCACTGCACTAAAAACCACTGGAGCTCCGCTGTACGTCACTCTGGGAATTGAAATGTGTAATTTATTTTTTTTTATCCTCTCGCACCGTCTCGGCGAGGGGGAGGCGTTTGTGTGTAAAACTTGATCTCAGGACTCACTTTGGTTTGTTCTCACTCTGAATGTGTATGTGATTGATGCCGTTGAAGGGGATCACAGGTGTCCTTACCTGCACTGAACTGTTTCTGTAACTGCATTTTTCTTCATGTCTAACAAAGTTACGCTCATTAAGCCGAGTTTGTCGGGGCTTGTAGTTGCATGTGATTTCCGCACTGACTACATCTGTCAGTTGTCCACTTTAAACTGTTGTAAGAATGTAAGTATTTGAATCTCTGTAGTCGACCTTTAGTAGGCCAAGGTAACCGTTTTATTGGTGTACATGTACAAGTATATCTGCATTTTTGGATTAGTTTTTTAATACATATGCACATAAATCCTTGTAAGAAATCACTTCATCAATTATTGAACTTTTTTGTCGGTCGTTTTTATCTATTTTGACGTAAACGCTTCAAAACATACAGCCCATAAAGAACCAGAAAGATCAGCTTATTCACTGCCGTGAGGCTATACCACCACCTTGTGGCAGCTTTTGGTATTACACTGACATCCCTCATTACTACAATACACAGTATATGTACCAACTTAAAAATGTAAATTATTTGTTGGTGTGAAAAATGTAATTAAATGATTTAAATGATAACAACATATACGCAGTGTTTGGTGTCAGAGTTTGATGTTTCAAGGTGCTACACTTTTGAGCTTATGCACTTTCTTTGTTTTTCTTTTTTTTTTTTTTTTGGTGTTTTGTAGAACACCCAGAGGATAAGCAGCTCCCAGTCCACCCAGCCACTGGCCACTCCAGTAGTGTCTGTCACCACCCCCAGTTTACCCCCACAGGGTCTGGTCTACTCAGGCATGCCCACCTCCTACAATCCTGCTGGTGAGTCTGCACTCGGTCTCTGCTGAAAACAGCCTCCTCAACCCGAGACTTCATGTACTACACGCTGTCGGTTCCTGCTCTTTTCTCAGTGGCACACGGTGTTGTAACTGAAATGCGAGCGAGTTCTCAGTGTGCGCGGCTGCTTTTGTTTTTACAGAGTACTCCCTGAGCAGTGCAGAGATCTCTTCCCTACAGGGCTTCAGCTCTCCTGGGCTCTCGCTGGGCTCCATGTCGGCATGGCAACAGCATCAACTGGGCCAGGCAGCTCTTAATTCTTTGGTGTGAGTAACACACTTCCCAACAAAGGCACACTCTCCAGACGCCCTCACATAAAAGCAACACCCACTGTGCTGTCATATCATGCTGAATCACACATCTACATATTCCTGGCTTTTCACATTATTACACATTTGTTGTCTCATTTTTTTTTTGTGGGGTGGGGAGGGGGTTTAACAAATAAAACTAAACAAATGCCCTGCTTATCTTCGCTGCAGTGGTGGAGGTCACCTACCTCAGGGCTCCAACCTATCCATCAGCACCAGCCAGAGCATAAATATCAAGTCCGAGCCCATTTCGCCACCACGGGAGCGTGTCACCCCATCTGGCTTCCCTCCGCAACAGCCGCAGCAAGGGTCCAGCCGACAGGAAGTTCTGGGACGTTCACCTGCCGACAGCCTCAGCTCGTCTTGTAGCTCATACGACGGCAGCGATCGCGAGGACCACCGGCCTGACTTCCACTCCCCGCTGGGACTGGGAAGACCCCCTGCTGGCTCCGAGGATAGGGAGAGCCCGTCGGTCAAGCGCTTGCGCATGGACACATGGGTGACATAAAGAGCCCTGGTCAAGCCTCCAGTCACCAGCCAGTCAGAGAGGGGGGGAGGGGTTAGACATGGAGATAAAAGAAAGAGCAAGGGTCCTTAGAGCTATCATTATGATACTATTATTCAACTCCACTTCAATTTGTAAGACTGAGATGTAATGTAATAAGACGTGTCAGGACATATCTAAAGTAAATTCTCAAGCTGATAACAGTAAGATTAAAAAAAAATAAAATATATATATATATCAGTTAGCTGGACTGAATTATATGCACAAGCAGGTGGTATCAGGTACTTGGTGCAATTCAGATGACGTTTGCAGAGGAGAGCTGTTCAAAGAAAATTGTTAAACAATAGGCGGTAGATTATTGTAGTCACTGGTCTAGTCAGACACATACATGTAGTTGCTGTTTTGCTGTTGTGCTCGCAAGTTGCAAACAATCCGAGAAAGTTGTGTTGCTTTGAGGCTGAGGACCCTTACATACGATGTTCACTGCACGAACTATCTCTAAAATCATGCTGTAACCATACAAGACCTTTATCTCAAGTGGCCTCTTCTAATTTATTGATTCAGTCGATCAGGAGACACAGAGCACATGGAGTTAATCGCTATTACACAGGAATTTTGATTATACCGTCAACAATCGCAACAAGTTGAGACTACTTTAGTGAACACACGAACCAATAATGTCGGAGGTAAAAAAAAAAAAAAGCAAAATAGCAACAGAATTTATTGCAATAATGACAAACTATTCATTTTATAATTTAAAAGAGTAGGATATATAAATGTGCAATTAAGATAATGCGAACCTGTCCAGTTGAACTGGTGAGAAAGTCAACATGTTCACATTTGTGTAACAGTTCATCAGTAATATAAGCCAAAGCTGTTCTTTTGTGTTGTTTTGTACAGTTGCTATGATTTTCCTAACAATTCACTCAAATGCACCATTTCTTTCATCATAGTTTTTATTTTTTATTGTGCTTTATTACAGTGTACAAGTCATGTAAACCAGATCTTGAATCGATATCGAAAGCCATGAACATTTGCTGTTCTGTTTGTATAATTGAAAAAAGAATTTGAGCCAAACATTGTCTTTTTGTTGTGTAAATAGCGACTTTAATATATATTACCAGGGTGTGAGTACATGCCGAATGTACTGTACGATCACCGTTTTCGAAAAAAAAAAAGTTGAAAAAAAAAAAAGTATATTTTTGTGGTTTACAGCCAAGTTTACAAGAGTAGACCCTCAAAAAGTCGATGATTCACTGGTCAATATTTGCTATTTCGTTCTTCTAAATTGAACATAAACTCCCATGTGTTTTAGTTCCAGATGGTCAATTTGTTTTGTCCCCCCTTTTTATTAGTGGTGATTGTTTGTCCTGAAGACATTGTAAAAGATAAAAAAAGAAAAAAAAAACAATGCTGTGAGGTTGAAGTTCCACTATTTTCATAATTATTTTTTTTTGAAGGATGATCACAAGGCTACGGGAAATAAGGTTTCTTCCCACCTATTGTGTTAGCTCGTCTTAGTTGTATACCAGCAGCTGCTGAATACACTGCCACCATTCAATTTCCAAGGTCCCAGCCCCACATTGAAGAATAATCTATTGTTTTTTGCATGTAGCTCAACTGAAAGACATCTCTCCAGCCACTATCCTGTTATCGGTTCACGGTGTTCAAGCTGTGAACGTGGCAGTAGTGGCTCACACCAAACTGATCATGCCTGTGTCCACATGTGGTTGTAAATATTACAGTCTACTTGAATTATCAGTTATGTATAAAAAAATACTCGTGTTTCCTTAATTGGCTCCAGAAATTGTATCTTAAACCCCTTTTATTAAGAGCACTGTAGCCAGAAAAGGTCAAAAAGAAAGGGGGGGGGCTGTGACTTATTTTCTTTTCCATCCTCACAGAAACGGATCATTCAGCAGCTAAATCATAATCCCACACACCGACTGACTTCAATCTCACTGCTGAAAGGCACACATTTGTATAAGAAGTTTGCTGTACGAGAGAGAGAGAGGTGTCGCTGTGCATTCGCCACGGCGCCACTTGTGTGCGTCTCTGAGGTCGCCGACCCCCAACGCCACCACCCCCACCCCCTACCACCACCATCATCAGCTCCACGGTAGTTCTCAGTTTACGCCCGTAATGAATCTATGCAGTTTTATCCCCAGTTCACATGAAACACACACAGAAGATGATGTCATTACAGGTCACATTTCGACACATGAGGAAGAAGAGAGTAGACTGTTAGACTCTTATTCTGAAGTGCCACAGCTGAGAGTTGCTGGACTACAAGCTATATCTATATATATATAATACATTTCACTGATTGATTTATTTGGATACCCCCCACCCCCACCCCCCCTCCCAAGGGCAATCTTCCTCATGTTCATATATATATTGGTAGACATACTTTATACGATGTATCCATAATGTAATCCAGTTTAACACAGCAGGTAAAAAAAAAATAGCAATAATAAAAGACTACAACGAAAACTGTCTGCCCGTCTCTGCAGCATCACCTCGTAGTTGAGCACATATTTTAGCACTCGATAACATATCAGGGAATTTTGTAGTTGCTCTATCTATATGCACAGTTAGGAAAAATGCCTTATCCCAAAGAAAAAATTTACACCACTCTTTTATTTTTCTCTCAGTTGAAGAAAGACAATGATGCAGATTTCACTCAAAACTCGACCAGACCTGCCTCTTCTCAGATAGGACTCACACAAGACTAACGCCCGGCGGATGCACTGCGATACACTTTTGCTCTTTTGGTCTATGTCCAAATTGTGCACAACTGATGAATGTGAAAGGAAAGGGTAATCAATGAACCTCTGTAGAGGACTTTCTTCACTTTGCTGTGCAAGAGTACACCGCTTTGCTTCATGGCTTTTATAAACAGAACTACGTGTTTGGTAAGTGTTTGTAGTTGATAGTTCACTTAACTAAAGAAGCTGTTTTCGGTTTGAACGCTCAGACCGTTTGGCGGCACAAGCTGGACTTTGTTGCCAATAATGAAATTATTTGTTTCAAAATCGAAAATAGATTTTAAGTTAATCTACATTTTATTTCCCTTGAATGTGTTATTTTATTTTCATCATACAATAAATATTCAAGTGAACTTTTTATTAAACAATTAAGATACTATGCTAGATGTTGTTGTACAAAATTTGTATTCTTCACAAAAGTACAAATATTGGCTTTTAATGTGTAATTTAGGTTATCTCTCTTATTCTGTATAAAATGAAGTAAACAACTCTTTCATAGAATTTGTTCTCCTGTGAAGTCCCAAACAGTAGAAACTGTCAACTTTATTAAACACCTCAGTGTATGCTCAATCTGAACTCACTGTCTATTCATCTTTGAATGTTGCTTGGAAAGTACACGTTTCACTGACCTCATATTACTTAGAACCACCGCCATTATCACTGACAGAACCTGAGCAGGCAGCACAAGGCTACTAAAAACCTGAACACAAGGAGTTTATATAAGAAAATTCTCTGATGGGAGTTTTTTAAAGGAAATCATAAGATTACTTTTTTTTATTTTTTTTTGAAGTACTGATCAAATTAGTGCAGGGATGTCATGCATGCTGTGTTCATGGTCAATGTAAAATTAATAATACGAAAAAAAAGAAGAAGAAAAACACTCCATTATAAATAAAATGCGACTGCTTATTTTGAGTGTTATTAAGAATTTTAACCCTCCTACTCTCTTTGGGGTCAATTTGACCCCATTCAGTGTTTAACATCTCTAAATAAGTATATATGTTTTTAGCTTTATTTAAAGGGCTATTTACACATAAACTTGGGTAACAATTTTAATTAAGCTATTTTCTGGAGGTTTAAATTGCTGGGGTCAAATTGAACCCCAAGGATAAAAGATGTCAGTAAATTTGAAGGTAATAGGAGGGTTAAACACATGGATTATCATGTGGCTGTTTGAGATATTACTAATGTTTAACAGCATTTTAAAAAGAAAAAAACAAGATTGAAGTGTAGCAGATCTAAATTTTAAAAAAGTGTGTGTTTTGAAGGAAAAATCTGACTGAGAAAAAAGTGAGTAAATGATACAATACTTACCTCTGAAATTAAGTTAACTAGAAGTACAAAGCACCAAATAAAGTACTTGTAGTGGTTCAAAACGGATCTAAGTACAGCTCCAGTAAATGTAGTGTTGCAGCACATATTATTTGTAACTGCATGTAATGTGGATGTTTATTGTAGATCAGATTTAAGCAACAGATACAGACATCTGAAGGTGTTTTGCAATGGTCGGTGCATTTCCACCGTATCGCCAGCAGGAGGCACTGCAGCACAATAATTTAGTTCCTCAGTCGGTTTCCTGGCTGTTGGTTCAGCTGGGGCCTCCACAACAAAGCAAGTTCAACTTATTTTGGCTCTCCTATGGTTATCTATAACGAAGAAAAACATCAAAACAGCATGTAATATTTTATTAAATCTTCTTTAACACAAGGGAATAAATATTTTTTTGTTCCAACGCACAGCATCTCTACAACAGAGTGGACGTTATGACCGTATATGCACTATATTGGAAATGATAATAAGCAGATGGAGAGTGAGGACATAGGCCAGAAATCATAAGTCAGTAATGAGTCTGTCCACCAAATTATTGTTTATTAATAGTTTGGTAGTTTATTTGTTTTAGCTGCAATTTTCTGATAAATTAATTATTTTACAGATTTTCCCTGTTTTGTCAAATTACAGAAAATAACTAGTAAAATCACAGAAAAGGTTTTAATTTACATGTTAACTGCAACAAAAATACAGACAATAAAAAACAAGGCAGAACTGTACATCTGTGTTTCTAAAAGGGTATTTCATCGTTTTGCATTTGACTGCTTCTATTTTACAGATTGTCCATGTTTTGTTAAATTGCAGATAACTTCTGGTAAAATTACAGGGGAAAAAAACTGACTGTAAAAATAATAATAATTTTGAGGTCTTGGGGAAGTTGGCAGGCATCTTGGGGGACAGAATTACATTGTCAGACATCCAGAGGTGTCATTGTGTCATTTGAACAAAGCTGCATTTAAAGGTGGACTCATCTTATACAGTCAGTGGTTAAAGGATTGTCTGTGTACTGGTCACTATCTGGTCATTTAGGTTTAAGCTTTAAGTTAATCCACACCTGATGAGGATGTGGATTAACTTAAGTGCCAAAAATTAGTCAGCAGCTGAACAGCTCAAAAACATTTTGTGCGTAGTTGGTTAAATGGAACCTTTTTCTAACCATCATACACATTTTAAACTTTTTTTTTCCAATTCAGAAAAAAGGCCATTTGCATGCTGTGCCTATTTTTTGGTTAGTTTAGCTTCACACAATGTCAACATGATGAACTCACTGTATCAACTCTGAGTTTCCAGGTACGAGTGCACTTACCTGACAGACACGGAGTTAACATTTAGAACAATGGTCATAACCACGAAAGAAACACCAACATGTCATGAGATGAACAACATCAGAATTTGGTTACAACAAATGTAATATTTTACTCAGTAAAATTTAAACAACCTAATCATATGATGACAACAGAATAAAAGGATTGGAGAAACTCTAGAGAGAATTTCCAAATATAAATATAAACCAAGGCTAGGGATACAGACAAGTGAAAGAGTTGTTCAGAATCTTTAAATTCAGGGTTTTCCCTTTCTTGTCAGATAATGAGCAATTACAGTTTTTGCTGCATCAAAAAATTACAGATCGTGAATGTGAGGAGATAGAAAAAAAATAGTTAATGTCTGATAAGGTTTATCTGATCAAAATGTTGCATTTATAATAAAGAAGGACATTTAACTGTGAGGATTATTTTTCTAATGAAAAGGTTCACTGTGAATAATTATCAGAAATCTATTCATGTTTTTCAGAGCTGCAGTTATGAAATAAAAATGTAGAAGCATCAGCACTGTCAGAATTCCTGTAGAATGTTGTGCAATTACTGCTTTAGTTATTTACTGTGATAAACTATCACTCCCTGAGAGGCTCTGTTTTAAAACTAAAGCCTGCTCCAGTAAAATGACTGGAATCAAAACAGCTGCTGATCCTTGTCACTTTATTTATTTGCACCATCATCTAATGAAGTGACACAATAGCTAAGCAGCAGTAAAATGAATTGCTTGTATCATTATTAAACACCAATATCAGTTTGCCACCAACTACTTATCCAGAATTCTTGACTAGAGTATGCTCTATGTTCAGTAATATAAATATTGGTGATTTTTAAAAAAAAAAAAAAAAAAAAAAAGAGTTCTAGTACTAATCTCTTTAAGGTCCATTTAGTCACAATTATTTGACAATCATCAAGCCAAAAGCCAAATCTAAAATCATTTTTGTATGTGGTATGTTATTTTTACTTTGGTATTTTAAGAATACATATTTTTTGTGGTAATTCAGCCAATTGTGAACAATAATACTGAGGGCGTCATTCTGTAAGATGACCGGATTGGTTCCTTAGATTTGTTACGTGTAAAACCCCGGAAGTCTGACCAAGGCCAGCCTTGACCTTAGCGGGTGTTTTTTTCGCGGTATGTCAAATTGCATAAATGAAAAACACCAGATAGACGTTAACAAAGTTAAAGAAATTGGATTTCCCCCAGTGTGTTCTTTAATTATTAGAATTATCCCTGTTTGTTTGTTTCAAAACACAAAGTAAGTTAGTCTGCAGTAAAACGTGCTGTCCGACATTCTCAGGAGTCTGGTGGCGCAGTTCCGTGTTTGCGGTAAGTTCAGCTTGTTTGTGTACTTAGTGAGTTAATGCTAATATTGAAGCAAAACAGGTAGTTATAGGTAGCTAGCTAGACAACCAGTAATTTTTTGTTTTGCTTCATTTTATTTATTTATTTTTAAAATCTAGATAGACGTACAACAAACATTCGTGACAATGGCAATACAGCCAGACATGACGGCGGGACTGCATGAACTTCAAGGGAGTACTGGCGCTTCGCTCTGGCAGGAGACAGAACCTGGACACCACGTTTCCAACCACTGGGCAGTGTTGCACAGAAAGTCGTTGCAAAACGCCAACATGCACACAGCACTTCTGCGTTTGTCACCAGACCGCGGACCCCTGCATTCATGAAGGTAAGTCTCAAAATGTTAGCTGGCTTGGCTAACATTAGCTCAAACGCACATGTCGCTCAGTTTGTAGTATTGCACATGTACAGAAGTGAGTACACTCCTGGGCAATATCACTTGTTTGCGGTTCATTTTATAGACATGTTCGTGCAATTAGGCTAAATGGAAGTTACTCAGTTTTGTTTCAGCGATCACAGGTGTATTCACTTTTGATGCATTGAGTTTGTACTTTGGGACCTGTGGTTTCAGTGTAGTCCTTCTAATCGGTTTGCTTGTAATTGTTCCAAAGAGGACATACTTGTTAGTTTAGAAATAATTCAAGAAATTATTGAGAGGTTGTACGATTTTGAATCACTTGACATTTAAGTGATAGGCACACGAGTAAAAGTGTGTCTGTGTAGTTTCATCACTGCCATAGATTTGCACGTTGTCTTAATATCTGATTGTCGCTTTATACAAGTATGCATTGCAGGCACTCTGTTTTTTTCCCCTCAAATTTGCTGTTACTTAAATATCTTATAGACACCAAACTGAAAGGCATTGTCCTACAGTGTGTACTATTGTATTTCCATTTTTTGAGACTGTGTGTGTAGTGTGTAGTGGCTGTCAAACTGTCCTCTGCCAACAGGTCAACTCAGTCTACTGGCAACTGCATTCAAATTACATGGAAATATTTTACGTCAATCCCACTTGGCATCTGATGAGTCAAATCTCTAATAATAAAGTAAATTAGCTCTAGTTAAAGCTAAAATGATTGGTTTAGGTGTCATAGATTTTTACAGGCAGTTAAATAGACAGAACGTGTGTAGTCTTACTTAGACTTAAGTATGTTAACTTAAGTCTAACGATACGAACTATAAAGTCTTAGTTAAGGTAGGACCATACCTGCCACAAAATGCTTTCCACACAAAAAGAGGTGTTTCGCTGGGCTCCAGTGGCTGCGATCACGTGTCTGCTTGTTGACAGCACTTAAACCTACATGCCTTCGTTCTGAAGATCTGATGAAAACGTGTAAAAATATTTTTGTCCTGCGTGGTATGAAACATGCCGTGAGCTGCGTCTTCCATACAGCTTCTACATGGCATGACATCTGACTTGTCATGGCAGGAGAAGCACAGGTAGAGCTGAAACATTAGTGATGACTCGGTTGCATTGGGTGGCCCAGTAAGTCATGCCCATGGATCAGCATGCACAATAGCAGAACCTCCCCTAAATGGAATGCAGCCGTCATAACGACACCTGCTTGGTTTTGTGCTATGACGTGCCACAATGTCTGCTCTGTCTGTTCAAAGTGAAAAACTGCATTCTTTTTCTTCGCTACATTCCTCTGGCGGCTTCAGTTACTGTTCTTGTTCAGATTGTACCTTAGAAACATGCACTCAAAATATGTTATAGTTGCAAAGGAAACTACCCCCCAGGTAGATGAAGTACTAATAGTTAGGTCCATTTTAACCAGGTATTCAGCGTACACATGCAGGAATCAGTTTAGATTGATTATTGTATCTTTGACATTTTACTTCCGTTACTTCTGTAGTTGTATTTATGAAATTGTTCTTGTTATTCTTATACTGTAGTATTGCTTATTATGTAGAGCATGTCATTGCCTCCTTCCTCAGACATCCAAATGTCCAAAGCTTTAAGTACAGAATATGCAAAGTTTGCCCATGATCATTGCCCATTTGGCTCATTGTTGACAGGAAGATTTTAAATCTGTGGGCCAGTTCTTTCTGCTTCAGACCCAATTATAGACAGATCATTACCAGAGAAAAATCCTTGATGGGTTAAAATGACAGTAAAAAGAACAATGTACAGTTTACAATGTGGGTTGCAAGGTGGCTCGGTGGTTAGCACTGTTGTCTCGCAGCAAGAAGGTCGCCGGTTCGTGTCCTGGTGAGGACACCCGGGATCTTTCTGCGTGGAGTTTGCATGTTCTCCCCGTGCAGCGTGGGTTCTCTCTGGGTTCTCCGGCTTCCTCCCACAGTCCAAAAACATGTTAAGGTTAATTGGTGATTCTAAGTTGTTCGTAGGTGTGAATGTGAGTGTGCTTGGTTGTCTGTCTCTAAGTTTGGCCCTGTAGTAGACTGGCGACCTGTCCAGCGTTGTTAGGATTAAGCGGTATATAGATGATGGATGGATGGATGGATGGATGGATGGACAACCAGAATGCTCAACTCTAATCTGCGTGAATGTATTCATAGGTAAAGTTAAACGAAATGATTGTAATATGTAAAGTGTAACTTTATTAACAGATGTCAACTTTATTTTAAGACACTTTGTGATTTGCTGACATTGACAAAATAAGCAGAAACCAGGCTGCTGCAATATATTGTACATTGTGCATACATTAAAAATCTAAAAACAAACTTCAGAATTATAATTGCCTCAAAAAGACAGCACAAAATTCAATGTATCATACGATGTGAGCACAGACTGCAAACCTGTGAGAACGTGATTACATGATAGTTTTAATTTTGTAAGTCCAACACTATTATGGTGATAAACAGACCTTCTCAAGAAGGTATGCACAAAATAGTCAAATTATTGGCAGGATTTAAATAATAAACACACAGCTATCTTAAAAATCCAGCTAGCAGTGAAAAAAGGAAATTAAAGTTCATCTTATGTAAAACCATTATCATCAGAAGCAGCAAATCACTCCACACTGAACTTGTTGCTGATCGCCTCTGTCTGTTTCTGCAGTTTCACTATTTCAGCACAGAGGTTATTAGCGGTCTGGGGTGAGACAGAACGCAGAAACTTTCAGAGGGTTAGCTAATGGCAAAGTTTTGATATTGATGTCCCGCCTCCACTGCGGTTCTTTGTGTTTGGAAAAAGCATAGAAACTGAGAAAGGACTCAGTGATACTATAGCACTGATGGCACTACCTAACCCTTGTTTTTGAAATGTTGCAGTTTTAATTTGTTGTTAACACTTGACATAACAGACGACAACCAAAAGCTTCGACACGTATGTGCTGACAAACTAGAAAAAAAGTATTAAACCAGTTCAGTTGTGAGATGAAGTCCATTAGATTTGTGAATAGAACCTATTGTTGTTATTATTAACTTATTAGAAAGGTGTGACTGCACCTCAGTATCTTTCTGCTATGGGTGGAAAAAAGCTGCCGTTATCAGTCTATTCAGTGGAATTCCACCTTACACAGAATAGGTAAAGCACTTTTACGAGTGGCGTCATATTTTACTATTTATAGCTTCAGTTGTTTGTCTACGAGGAATTTTGATTTGATTTTCATTTGCATTTTTTCCTGTGTAGTATTGCTACATTGACGTACAAAGCAAAACATCAACTCCATTTTTCTCCCTGAACAGCAAAACATAACTGACTGAGGAACAAACAGTGGCTTTAGGTCAGCCGTGTAGTCCACAACCTCGCTCTTTTATGGCTGTATTCAGTTTTAGGCCTGCATGTGCATCACTCAGTGCGTTTGTCCCCAAGTGCATGTTCTTGGCTTTCCATCCACGAGACCAGCTGTGCTGTAGGCTGGAAGAAGTCCAGTGTGCATGTGTCGAGTAACCAAGCAGGGTTTTGGGTTGTTTGAGTTGTGCAAGAAGGAGGGCGACAGGCCACCTGCCATAGGGGCTTGCCCTATGCGGATCCCCAGCCCTGCCTTTCAACTGGGAGCCAAGTTGGGGTTCTTTCATGTGGGCCTGATCTCTTTAAGACATCAGCAAATATTGAACAAGACTCAGTCCAGACTCAAACACATCTGTTGTCATATAGTCTCCACTGTTAGGCACAGACAAGGAGAGAGAGCGGGAACACCAGTGGGTCTGTTGCATTAGCTTCTATGTGTGGACAGAAAGCTATAGTTTATACTTTGCAAACACAAATGCTCACTTTTGACGAGCTTAGGCTAAACCATGTTCCACTGTAAACAAATATTGGGCTGTGTGAAAGAAATGGAGTTTGGTACGGCGAGGCAGCCACTGAGTGCCAGATCCGTTCTGACATTTCATATGCCTCAGTCATGTTGCAGAATCCATCAGCAGTATTTTTGGACTGTTTTGGACAGATAAGATAGACAGTTGTATTGTAGAATTAGGCCAGATTATGGCATTAAGTATATTTTCAAATACTTGGACCTGTAAGAGAACCCATATTAGAGAAGTGTAATACATGCAAGTCTTAAAACAGATAAATTGCCTCACAAATGCAAATAAACTGTCAAATATACAAATCAACAATAAACAGACTGACAAAACAGGCTGCTGTAGCCTACAGTCGGCAACTGTTTCATCGTTTCAGTGTCTATTTAATCTCTCGCTACATTGTCTTAATTTACTCAATATTTGTAGTCAGATTTCTTCTGATCCCACATAACTGGAATCATACTGTTTGTAGCTCCGTCTATCATGGATAACTTGGGCAGGACTCAACGGTTGACGATGGCATTCTCAGCCATAGAAACTCACCTCGTGCAACTGGTACGGCCAGTTTCACCCACTTCGGCCTCTCCACCAATCACTTGTCTACAAAGTTACCTTAAAGCTGGAAGGTTCACTACATACATGTTGTGTTCCCTCAGACACTTCCTCTTTCTTATCATAGTTAGGATGACTGAGCTGCCTGTTGGAAAACATTTAACTGCTCTTGGTGGAAACTGATCCTCGTGTTGCTTTGCTAAACATCTCAGCAGAAGTCGACTGGACAGGTAAAGTTTGTTTTTTTTCTTTGTTTGTTTAAATTAAACTGGGAGAATCCAGGCAATAGTGTCATGTAGATTATAGAAAGCAAATAAATAGTGAACGTTTGTGAGATTAGATGTATTTTGATGATAGTATAGCCTGCCACAGTTTGATTTTGTGAGGTTATTTATTGAGAGGAACTGTCTGTGTTTTTGTGTAGTCAAAGAGTAAGACACTAAACTGGCAGAATTATTCGGGTGGTGTAAAACTAAATCAGATAGGAATTAAACAACAGTTGTGTTCGTCAGATTTTTTTATATGTTTGCGTCATATACAGCTATTGAGTCAGTAGATTGAATTTAATCTTTCTTAAGCTGAAGTGTCTGACAGGAAATGTATTGTAAAACCAAAGTTTCATACTTTTTGGTCGAAGTGAAGCGCGAGTACAGCCAACATTTATTTAGTTGAAAATGTGATTCTAAGAATAATCAGCGATATAAAAAAATCTGTTCTTCTCAGTGTCCTGTATCACTGGAACCAGTTCCTTAAAAAGATTTGTTTAAAAGAGATGTTTGCTGCTTGACCGGAGCAATGATTGCGTAATCCACCCCATCGAACTGAAACATGGCTAAAATGTAAAACATTTAAAGTTGCAGTAACCACCAGAAGGAGTCACTTTGACAAACATGCCAAACGCATGTCATAATTCTTGCTATTTTAAACATTTCCTCGCTAAATATTAGAGATGATCGCTGGTTTTTAATGACTTTTTTAAACAGATCTACAGTTTGGCACGAGTCTTGAACTTGTTTTTAGCCAATTTTGGCAGTTTGAGCCACTGACTATCACTCAGAGCTTCGCTGTGTGGTACATTCAGTGAACAAATCACTGAACATGCACCATTCTCTCACAGTGAAACTCGCCACCTGTTCTTTTCATATTGGAGGACAGACTCACTCGCTTATAAGTAAATATATATATATTAGTATGTGGTGCTTAGTGAATCACTACAAACAAAATCAATGGCTTAAATGTTCCTCCATGTTCAAGAGCTCTATTGAACTTAAAATGAATGGATTGCTTTTTTAAAATTGTCTCTTGAGCAGTTTGTATACATTTTGATTTCTGCTGTACATTTGCTGCTCTGCATTAGGCCTGTACGTGTGTGGAACAGAAGATCTTGATTTCACAGTTGTTGTTTTGTCTCACAGGCATTCAAGATGGAAATCAAGAAAAAAAACATATTGGAGAATTTGCGGCTAAAAACTAAGTTGCCCAACCTTAAGAAGCCACGAAGGAAGGAACTCGCCAAGCAGGGGAGGAATCTGGCCCATCGACGCAGTATTTCTGTACCAGACCTTACATTTGTGCCAGGTGGAGCATATTCTACAGACAGTGCCTTGTTGTCTACTGCTTCTGATGCCATTTTCTTTGGCATCTCTCCTGGTCTGAGTGATACTGATTCTGTTGCAAGTGGCTCAATCGGTGATGGACCACTTTTTGCAGACAAGCTTTATGATGCAGTCCCCGAGACTCCACTCAGAGTCCGTCAGATGGATCATTCAGCTGCAGCTCTCAATAGAATCAGTGCACCAGTGACACTTTATGACCAAATGAGCTACATCACCGGCTCAGACAACAAATTGTCCTCCACTCAAGAAGGTTTGTATGCACAAGTGGAAAAAAGAACCAAGGCAAATGTACCGAAATTTTCTTTTGATCCTGTTCCTGCACCAAGACACATTTTTACCAATGTACAAGCTCCGTCCCCAAGACCAGATCTTGGGGAGAGGGTGAGTCTGTCTGGTGAAGAAAGCCAAACAGACAGGGTGCATTCAGAATCTGTTGCTGCAGCACTGGCCAGAGCACACTCACTTGGAGAACAAATGACCCCTTCCACACAAAGGAAGGCCATATCAGTTGAGCAGAGAAAGTCATCATCTGAAAAAGGGACTCCACCAGCAATCAGAGCAAATGCTCCTGCAGATAGGATGTCTCTGTTATTAGATACTCTGGCTACTCCTTTGGAGAGTACAGATGGTACCTCTCTGGACTCTGCATGTGGCACTCCCAGCGAGGAGCATGTCAACCTGCACTGGACAACGGACTCGGAAGAACTGGACCGAGAACCCTGTTCTCCTTTGCTGATGAGAGAGTTTTCCATGGACGAATGTCTGCTAGATGAAACCCAGGCTGAGGAGGCCCTGGACGAGATAGCAGAGGTCAGTATTATTATGTATAATCAGAGGATACTTGTTGCTTTTTGATGTCTGTATGTGGTAGAGACGTATGTTACTTGAAATTCATATGTATCTGTTTATAGTATCGGTGATTGACTTTTACAATGAGACAGAAATCCAATCCAGTCCTGTACTCGTACACCAGAAACTCTGTGGGTCTACGAACTTAGATTAAACTGCTCTTTCTTTTAGGAATTATATTAAAGCTGAAGCAATATCCATTGCTTATAATAAGTTGTTCAAGAAGAGGTTGTAGGAAGTTCTAAAGGTATAACAAAAATACCTCAGTTATTACAAAACAGTTTGACATGAAGCCACAGTACAGCCAGTGCTGTCAGTAGCATGTAGTACATTTCAACATTGGTCACATTTACTTGAATATTTGCATGCTTTCATTTAACTTTCAAATAGTGTGGTTTAGTTTTTACACACTGGAGATTTTATGCAAAGAGTTGTTCAGCCTCTTATATGGTGACTTACATAAAACTGACATTCCTTTTCTAAGCCCCGAATGTAGAGTCGTGGTTTTATCACACTAATACTGCAGCACGTGTGACAGTAACTATTAAGTCTACTGGTGCAACATATTCAAAGCATGTCCCTGGCTGTTTGGTGTTAAATGTAAAGTGACCACCTGGGATTTGACTTAATACGGCCCTTGGGTATAGCTGAAACTAAGACTATCACATCCTCCTTTGTCTAGATGTCTCTTAGATATGGAAACCAGTTGAAAACCTGCCTTACTAGTTAGTGGTACATTGTGTTGCGGAGAGCTATACGAAAAGAACACCAAAAGGGTGATAAAATCTCACTTTGCCTTACACCTGACACGTTTCACTGCTGTTGCCAATATTTACATAGTCTAGACACGCTGTGTCCCTCAAAGAGATTATCTGTAGTCATGAACAAAACACATGCGGCGTATGTTTTGAAAAGAATAAACAGACTTTTTACAGCAGTTCACACAAATAGTCGTCTTACCTCAGTCTAACTAAGTATTTTTATTACGATGTTGTATGAAATGCCATTAAAATGTTTTGTTTTTTCTCTATAGATGTCCAGTGAACCGTGTGAGTTCTTTGACGAAAATTTTCAAGATCCTTTAGAAAACTTTGTGAGTACTGCTTCGACTGCTGTCCCCATTGAAATAAGCCAAGCATCTGATATAAAAAACCTTACAAATGGCATTGGTTCTCCACAGGAGGTTATGACAGTTGGTCCTGAGGCTCAAATACCTGCTGCATGCCAGAGGTACCTCTTGAACGTCAACCTAAAACAAGGAAGGAACCTGGTCATCAGAGATAAGCGCTCCGGTATGTCGGCATATAACACCCCATCTTTTCCTGGTCTGTAAGATTCAGAATCTACCACACATCTTCCTAGGAAAATGACTAACGTTTTATAATATTTGTGATCTTAGTATTCTTATAACTGGGATTATTTAACACCCTTGCCCAGATCAGTCCGGATCAAGCGGTGCTACATCAGATTTCTTGCACACTCTAAAAGAATGCAGCTCTTGGTGTGTTAGCTTTTGGCTACACCTAAAGAGTTAGTCCTTGATGAAACACTGGATGTACACAAAGTGCATATACATCTTGCTAATCTTGCTTTGACAGTGAGCCAATCAGACAGAGGAAAATTGTGAACGGTGAATGTGTTATTGTGTGTGAAGGGAAGATGGGATGTGTTCAGTTATTGCCTGTGTTTACTTGTGAGAATCTCTTGTCGAGTAATGCGTGTACAAAGAAAAAAAAAAAAACAGCAGAGAAATATGCAGTCAGACCAGTATGACAAAAGACAGACTTGGATAAAGCAGTCGGTTCTAATTAGAGAACACACAATCTGTACACGAAACTACTGATTTTGCAACTTATTTAAACAGCTGTTGCTCATAGATTTTTAAAGCAGAAGCATTGTAATCACTTACCTCTCAAATTCTCTCTATGTTATTACAAGAAGCCACAAGCGCTTTTCTCCTAAAATATTTTATTAATATATTTTGTTTTTGTTATTTTTTTAGAAGTGTTGAAATTAAATGTGTGATATAATCACCCTAAAGTGATGCATTTTAATCCATACTTTAGTAGCAATTCATATTAATATTATACCCAGGTATAAGATTCCTCATGAACTGTGAAAGATGGTTTATTTGAATGGAAAATTTAATGTATTTGAAAGAGTGGATTTTTGTAACCAGCTGATCTGTTGAGAATTTATTTCCCTTTAACAACGATATTATATTGTGGGGGAGAAAGACAAAGAAACATAAGTGTGAAGTACAGATTTCAACACATTCTGATCTGTCCTCGAGGCCCAGGCCCAGGAGTGTTAGCTCTGATAAAGCAGCAACCTCAAGTGGCCGTAAACGGCATTACAACACTGAAAGAAAATTCATGTGTGGTCTAATTAAGAATGGCTATTTAGTGACACTTTTTTGGCAGTTATTTGGGCTTGTGTTTTACTCAAATATAAGCAATTTTTAAAAAATGTTAAAACTGGCATTTTCAGAGAGACGGATGCATTTCACAGAGGAAATGTGTGATTTGACAGCCTTTTTAAAGTTACATTAATCTAATTTAGAATTAAAACCCTTAGGCTATTCTGATTTATTAAACAATATTATATTTTACTTTACTAGCTCCTGTAGCTGTGGGAAATCACCTTACAGTGAAATGCTTAAAGGACTGTCTGCTTGAAATGCTGCTGTTTTTTTTTTTTTTTTCTTGCCTGGTGGCACAGGACCCTCCAAGCCCAGTGCCCTACTCCATGCTAGTTGAGACCTTACTTTCCCTGACAAGATGGCACCGTGATGATGCAATCCCCACACGCCCCCTGTCTCTCCACTGTTTGCCCAACAATCAACACAGTGCCAAAGGCCCACCAATGGCATACATTGTCATTACATATTCTGAAAAGACCCACACCACCAGCCCCCACTCCTTGGTTTTTTGTTCTCCCCTTTTTTCCCATTAATTTCCATCGTCACCATTCTCAGTCATGCCAGAGCTTTTCTCCTTGCTAGCTGCCACATTCTCCTCCTGTCAAGTTGCCTGGAGGTTTCCCTGTCACAGGCTGGCAGGGTGGAGCTGCTGTGGGTCCTGCCTGCCTTTGCGAGATGTTCATTTGGAGTGGGGAGCTGACAGGCCTGACAGCCCATCCCCACAGGGCCTTTGTCATGTGATTCAAGCCTCCCTGCAGGCTCTCTCAAGCACCCCTTTATTCCCCTATACAAATGAAGGCATGGGGCTGGCTTTCATTTTTTGGCCAATCTGCATGCAATTGCAGAAACAAAGAAGTCCCATACCCCCACCCTACTCACAGACAGACTTTCTTAACAGGCTTGGGAGATTAACACTGGTTGCTTCTAGATTTTGGTTTCTGGTTGCCTCATGCTGGCGAGTGTTTCTACTCCTTGACAATTAAACAGCTACATTCCTCTGTTTTTGCCATGTGTGGGGCGCACCTCCTCCCTACATATTTCAGTCTCTCACACCACCAGCATGGGGGAAGGGTGTGTATGCGTGTGTGTTAATGTCTGTTTTCATACACGGTGTACATTTTTATAGTGACAGTATGCTCGACAAGACATAAACATAGTTTGCATTAAATAATTCCCGTCCGCCAGAGGTTGTTATGAAATCATATTTTATTCAGTGTTTGTGTGTTAATGTTACACGTAAGGTGGTTACAACTTGTCTTACACAACATCACCTTGCTGGTTTGCTTTGTTCTGTCTTTTAATTGTAGGCACCAGCGATCCTTATGTGAAGTTCAAACTTGAAGGGAAACAGTTCTACAAAAGCAAAGTGGTGTATAAAAACTTGAATCCACGGTGGAACGAGTCCTTCTCTCATCCCCTTCGAGACAGAGAGCATGTTGTGGACGTTCGGGTAGGCATTGTTTTTGGTTGGAAATTGGGTGCATTATCTTACAAGAGGGGTCAGAACCCATGGTTTCAGTTTATGCAAGATGTGATGAGATGTTTGCAAAAATGTCGCAGGTCTATGATAAAAATCGGACCGCTGATGACTTCATGGGTTCCAGCTCGATTTCTCTGAAAAATCTTGAATTGTACAAGTGAGTAATAAATTTTTGTTACATTTTTGGGACTAGATCATCTTTCAGATACTAATAAGTGATCCTCAGTTTTAATCTTCCTGCCTTTTTCTATTTCTTCATAGAACCTATGAAATGGAGTTGCGTCTTGATGATCCAAAAAGTAAAGAAGACGACATGGGAGTAATTATTGTTGAAGTCTGCTTAATGTTTAGAGATGCCACAATCAAGAAGAATGTAAGAATATTTTTAATATTATAAGTTTGTGTGTAGATGAAATTGTTTGTTCCTTATTTTTGCCTAAATCTTTGTACTGATTCCCACAATTCTTTTCTATTCACAGAGATGGCCACAAAGAAAGAATAAGGTATGGATCCTAATATCACATTTACTTTTAAACGTGATTTTCCTAATTTTATCCAGAACGTCATTCCTGTTCTTGCATTCAGCTTTTCTCATTTACTCAGTGATGCTTACGATTAGCCGGATCTAAAGCACTAGGGGGCAGTAGCTCACTGTACTATGCTGCAACAAAGAATGAGGCGTATGCTCAGGACTCAAGCTTTTGTGTGTAACCTTGTTTTCAGCACATCCTATTTCTTTTGTGGTTTTATAGTTAACCTTTTTAGCAATGCATATTAGTTTCAGTGGTATCATTATGTGTGATAAAAGTATGGTACAATATCACATTTTGATCAAAACCCAAAATCATAATATTGACTGAGAATGCTGTCATAAAAGAGCCCTTAGATGAGTATTATATAGCAGTATTTGGTTTTGTTGTAAACAAAGTTCCATCTCTCCTCAAGTGGTTTTCAATATATTGCAGCTGTAATTAGATTCAGAGTGAAATAGGAGGGTTGCTGTTTGGGACTCACACGGCAGCGAGTGGGTTTATATTCACACCTATGTTGTCACTACATCTGCCACTGTTCAGTCTCTTGATGGTCCAGTAGACAATCTCAATTTGAAATTAGATGACAAAGGAATGAATGCCATTTTCATACACAGTGTAGGTTATCCACTACAGATGGTTAAAGATACTCAAAGGGAGATGGAAATGTGTGGTGGGACTCTGCACAATGTTCTGCTGCCTAAATCACAGTGCTAATTTAACAATGTAACAATGCCATTTTTTTCCCCATTTCATTTTTGACAAACGTACAATATCTTATTGCATTTAACACCTATCCTGGAAGTGCTGAATACCCAGCTCTTACAGCTCTACTCCCCCTCTGTCAGAACATCGTTTTCTCCCTCTGTGTTACCACCACAGAGACAGGGAATGGCAAGTGCCTAAGTAAAACTCTGCTGTGTGATAGTGTTTCAAACAGGAGGGGGCGTATGGGAGAAGCGGAAGGGGGGCTCTGCTGTTCGAGGCATGTTGCCAGTGTGGGATGCCTAAGATCGGCAAGGCTGATAATTCCCAGGCATAGCGGGCAATAACCCAGATGTTAGGATGTAATATCACAGCTGTGGATGGACAGTGCTGAGGTACCAGCCAAATGGACCTGGGTCTGAGCTCATCATGCTTGTCCCCATGCTGTCCCACCATATGGAAGCAATCGCACAGCCCTTTTAGGACCAGGAATAGATTCTCTTTAGGGGCCACTTACAGTTAAGTGGAATTGTTTTATTGGCCGCTGAGATAGAAATGTGTCCAAGATAAACACTTGGGATGACTTGGCTGAGGCCTGTTTTATATCGCTCCTCCACTCCCTCTGTTCCTCTTCTTTTGAAGGGGCTGATATTTATAGGGCTGTGCCTGTGGTATTCCATGTTAATTCAGGTCCCAGAGATGTGCTTTGATCCCCTCCGGATTGGGTGGCAATGTGGGTTGTGACCCTGTAGTGATGAGGAGGGGCCGGAGTGGCAGGGGAGTTGCAGTGGGGCCGTTTGAAGCAGCGTCGCCGGGGCAGCCGAAGGAGCTGGGCAATCAAAGAGGCTAGAGCAGATTACGCTCCTGCTCTTTAATTACAGTCAGCCCTACACAACCTCTGTGCTGTTTGTTTTTACAGCCCTGGCCTATCACCGCACGGCCTCACGGGAACTCTAACATGGAAACATATCAAGGCCTCTCTCTCCCTCTCTCTCCCTCACTCCCTCTGTGACACACGGCAGGAGAAGTGGATTATTTGCTGGGCTTGTCCGTTAATTTCGAAAGAGTTCTCGAAAGCACAATATTTTGGTTAGTTTAATGGCTTCGCTTAAATAGAAAGGATTTGTTATTTTGCTGGTTAAATTAAAGCGGGTGAATTTGCCAACATGCAGTAAACTCTGATGCTGGCCATACATACTGCATGTATGCATAATTTGCTGATGAGAGAGCTGTGTGGTTTGCATCATTACTCACTGCTGCCTGCTGTCTCTGGTGCAGTATGCCAAGTGTCCTGCCTCCCCACACTCAGTCTGGGAGCCAGTGATGAGTGGGACTGTCACAGCCAGGGACATCTGGCTGCTCGCTGACGTCCCTCTCTTCCTCTCTTTCCAGGAGCCTCCATGGTGTGGCTTGCCTGTCAGTAGAGATGTGCTAATGTGCTCCAACAGAGATGCACTGTATAGTACAAACCTTTGTCCTACTTTTATGCTTTCTGTGAACATGATGAGGTGCAAGGCTGAGGCAGGAGCAGGTAACAGGAGAGGAGCTCACTAAGCTTCCACGCACAGTGCTTTAAAAAATATGACTGTAACTGTCAGTGTACATCTTTGCCCTGCAGCAGAACCAGGCCACACCGTCTCCGCGCCCAGCAGAGACACAGAAGAATCAGCTGAAGAACCAGATGTGGACCGGGGTGCTCGGTATCACCTTGGTGGAGGGACAGGACCTGCCGCAGTACGGTCAGGGTGACATTTACGTCCGCTTTCGCCTCGGTGATCAGAAGTACAAGAGCAAGGTTGGAGCTGTTTTTTTTTTTTTTTTAAAGTCTTTTTCTTTTCGCACTTCTCCAATACTCCCTTTTCTAATGCTCCTCTGTCTGTTTAATGTCTGCTCTTTATACTTTAACTTTCTTCCTAGCCCTTATCTCTTACTTCCTCGCTTCTCTCTCCCAGCAGGTGCCTGTCAGTGACTCACCTCCACCTTGGCTCACTGGGCCATGGCAGAGGCAGCTCATTAGACTGGGCAAGGCTGCCACTCACTTCTCACTGTGCTTCGGGTGCTGGGCTTCATTGCCTTCATTTGCATACCCAGCATGCCCTGTTCATCTACCTGTACTTGTTGGCCTCCCCCCTGATGATTCTATGGTGCACTTGTCTTGTGTTGTCGTGTCATTTCTTTGTAAACCTCTCTGCTTTCCTCTCTGCTTGTTTGTTTGTTGAACAAAGCTGATTCTAATTGGAAGCTGTCAGTGTTTACAATCCCAGAGTGGCTACTGAGGTGTACACATACAAGCACACACAAATAGATACACATACACACAACACACCTCTCTTTCTCCTCTCCTGCCTCGTTCTGGTTGGACTGAATGAAGACTTAATCCACCTGTCATGCAGGAGCTGCTCAGTCTGATAATGCATTAAACCTGACATTGCGTCAAAGTGCTTGTGCTTGTGTGTGTGTGTGTTTCCACGTTACTGTATGTGCTGAATCTGTGTCTTTACTGCCCTTAGAACCTTTGCATTCAGGCGAATCCCCAGTGGAGAGAGCAGTTTGACTTCAATCAGTTTGAAGATAACCAGGAACCTCTGCAGGTGGAGTTGTTCTCAAAGAGAGGAAGGAAGGGTGAAGAATCATGGGGAATGTGAGTATTTCCTGGTTGGTAGTGTTAATTTTGCTTTTATCGGCTCCTCCACAGAACAAATTATTCTTATTTATTTCAATGGAGTGATTTTCTTTTTGCGTTTCAGGTTTGAGGTCGACCTGTCGAGACTCCCACTTAATGAGAGACAGTTCTACACTCATGTGCTGGACCCGGGAAAAGGCAAACTGGTGTTTTTGGTCACTTTGAGACCCTGCTGGGGAGTCTCCATCTCTGACATCGAAACAGCTCCCTTGACGAAGCCAGATGAGAGGGACATGGTGGTGGAGAAGTTTGTATGTGTTTGTTTTTTATGTTTAATGAACCTTATGTTGACTTATTTAGTAAGAAACTGAGATATGTCATGGATTTTTTGAATTTCAGATGGACCTGTTTTCAAAATAATATAATAATTTGTACATATTGTGTAACTGTATGTGTTACATTTATTCGCCATGTCTAAAGGTCTTTGGAATAAAATGCTTTTCATCATATTTGTTTTTTTAGAGCTTAAGAAACTCTCACAAGTGTGTGGGAGACGTTGGCTTCCTTCAGGTCAATGTTATGAAAGCAAATGATCTTCCTGCAACAGATCTCAATGGTAAGCTGTAACAGATATTCATTTTTGTTTTTGCTATTCTCGTCCTCGTGGTCTTTTCTCAATGTTAAGTAATAACCCGCCTTTGTCATTTGCAGGAAAAAGCAACCCCTTATGTGTTGTCGAGCTCGGGAACTGTAAACTTCAAACTCACACAGTCTACAAGACGGTCAATCCGGAGTGGAACAAAGCCTTTACATTGTAAGTAGGACACCTGGAAAATCTGTCCTATTTAAGGTTGAATTATTTTTACGTGAATGACATTTGTGTAACTCTTATTTTCAGCCCAATTAAGGACATTCATGATGTAGTCGAGTTGACTGTCCTTGATGAAAATGGAGACAAAGCCTCAAACGTTTTGGGGAAAGTGGCCATTCCTCTCCTGACTGTAAGTTTGTTTATTTTGTCAACGTCTTTACTCATAACGTCTGATAAACCCACAATAAATCACTTGTAAAGTACAATCATATATATGTTGTGTTTTGTATTTTTAAAGGTTCAGAATGGGCAGCCGATATGTCTGTTCTTGAAGAAAGAAGACTTGGGAAGTACATCTAAAGGCACCATCACACTGGTGCTGGAGGTTATCTATAACAAAGTAAAGATCAAACACAATCTGGTCAAGTTTCTTATAATGATGACAAAACTTTGTATCATACATTGTGAACTCAAAGTGTAGTTAAACAGGAGTATTATTTTTCTTCTTTCTTTGCCCCAGGTCAGAGCTGGTATCAGAACCTTCCAACCAAAGGAGACAAAATTAACGGAGGAAAACCTGAAGTTCTCCAAAAAGGTTTTTTTTATTTTTTTTTATTGATGTTTACCACAGAATTTAGCAGATTGAACAAAAAAAAGCTTGCCAGAAGGTTTTTTCTTACATCCCTCTAATAAACTGACCACAACAAATCCACACACGGTCATAGTTAAGATCAGTCATAATCAAAGTAATTAGTTTAATTGGCTTTAACGTCATACGTAGCAACTAAGGGATTGTAAAGCTGGTTCAACCTCATTGCAAAGTCATAAACATTATGTCCAGTATCAAATGATACAAACTAGTGTTTTGTTCCAATTATTTCCCATTAGGTTCTTGCCCGGAATATATATCGGGTTCGAAAAATCAGCACAGCAGTTCTGTACACGTTACAGTACATTAAAAGCTGTTTTCAGTGGGAGAGCACGCAACGGAGTCTAATAGCCTTTCTGGTAAGTCATTGCCTCACGTTAATGAACTCTCTTTAAGCCTTGGGGCGAACAAGTTTTGTCCCATTTCATTGCAGCCCAGTTTTAACTCTTTCATTTTATGTGAATTAGATGTTGAGGAGAATCTTTGGTTTAGCCATTTTCTCCCCCTGCAAGTCTTTTTCCCATGAAAAACAATGGCTGCCTTCTGTTTTTATCCCATTCGTATGTGATGGATGTGATTTATCCTTTAAATCAAACCCCACTTGGCTTTCCTTCAGTTCTGATGACATTAGAGTGTATTTGAAGGGGTGGGGTTTGAGCGTTTGTACATCTGACTTCTTAGCAAAGCCTCCTAACCCAGGGGATGGTGTAAGGAGGATCACAGTCTCAGCTTCCTTGGGTGGAGCAGTGACAGTCTGCCTCTGAGATTTGAACCTTGTTTAAATGTCTCTGTTTAGCTGTTTTTAATGAGGGTATGTGATCTTAGGTCCTAAGCTTAAATAATCTTAAAGCACCCAGTGAATCCCCTGCAGTACAGCACATGTAATGTCATGATTAAGAGTGTACACTTGCCATGAAAGCCCTGCCAGCGCTGTGTCAGGGTGAGGAAGCGGTCACAGACAGGGTGTGTGAAGAACTCTCCTTTCACCGCCTTTCTTCTGTCTACTCTGTCTCAGGATGACATGCAATTCATACCTGGTGTATTCTATAAGCCCTTCTCACTGATCCTGAGGTGCAAATCCCCCCAGGCAATGGCCAGGCTCAGTGTATCACAGCCTTTAGAACAGCACAGCATACAGACAGACAGGCGGACACAGACAGGAAGACAGAGAACAATGCAGGCAATTGTATAAGGATAGAGTGGGAGGCAGGCTACTATCTGGGAAAGAAAGTTGGAGCAAAGAAAGAGGAAGACAGTTCACTAAGAGTGCGGGCAGATAGCGAGAGACTTGGAGGCAGACGGGCAGGCATGGATATGGGCAGGAGAGCAGGAGGATAGGCAGGCTGACAGGTGACAGGTCAGCGGGATGGAGCCATCTTCTTCCACCTATAATTAGATCCTCCGCAGGCGATGGGAGTATGCGGTGGTACACTCTAATCTTTCATTTCCACTTCTACTCCACCTGCTGTTTAGGAGTGCAGCACACAAATACAGATTTTAGAATGAAGGAAAAAGACATACACTTACTACTCATCATGGTGACTGTTGTGTGCGGCGTCCCAGTTTTTTTTTTTTTTTTCTTGTTTGTTTTGTCAGTTGTACGTTCCCTGTCAGTAACGATGGCAGTTGTTATATTTCCTTTTATTTAAGATAACTGGTCTGTTTTTAGGCCAAAACCAACACACTGGTTGATATGTTTATCCGCACACAGTAACAGAGCAGTCAGAGTGCACCTTTGTCTGTGACGAGGTGCGCTTCAAATAGTCTAAATGTCGAAGGTGCACGGTGAGAATTGCCCAAACAGAGCGAATCTGGCACTGTTATTCATCACCCACTCATCAGCAGACTGAAAGTTCAGAGAGTGAAAAGTTCTTTTTTTCAATGATTCATTATATTCTCAACAAGTATCAAGCACAATGAAACATGCAAATCACATGTAAATACTGCAACAGGAAACACTCTGAATTTCCGTTAGCGCCTGACAGCCAGCGAGGGCACCGGCGAGGTCTTGACTGACTGTCGTTACAAGCCTAGTGCCGTGCCAGTATCCACACTCGTGCCCCTGCCCACTCCGAGGGCGTCCACCGTACAGTCACTTCTCCTCCTCCAAGTCATCATTTCCAATTAAGTTAGTGTTTGGAGCTTTCTAAAGCAGCATGCCACCATGTGCTTTAATGAAAGCAGCTCCCACTCCTATCTTTATATCTTTAGGCAGTGGTAATAAGGTAACTGATTCAGACATTGACAGATGGCCTCTGCTTGCCTCTCAGATGTGCATAATTATACCACTAGTGTCTGCTCTTTTCCACAGTGGCAGGCAGCGCAGGGCTTCTCAGGGTATGCCAGTAGGAAACACTGCAGTGGTGGGTCTAGCTTTAATATACATTACAATACATTATTTATCATGCAGGCAGACCAGTCCTACCCTTTTACACTATATACATCCTGTAATGCATTACCACTGCTGTGGTTTTTACTGGGACTGCGGGATGCTCACGTAGTGCTTTACCAGGAATACTTAGCCATTATATCACTCAGTCCCACAGGCCAATTTTCTGACCTCCACACAGCATGCAGTCTACATTGCTATCCTGTTTATGTAGATTCATGTATGCATTATAAAGTGCTTGTTGGTGTGTGGTATGTAAGGTATTCAAATTTTGCATGAGGGATCACTGCTCTGGTTCATGTTAAGCGGGTGAAAAAGAAAAAAAATCTGTTGGTTTTCTATATATCAACATGATTCCCACATGAGTGGCAATCAGAAAGCTGCACGTTGGCTTTTTTGGTTTCACCAAGTGTTGTTTGTGTGTGTGTGAGAAAACTCCTGTAAGAAAAGGAAGAGTTCCAGTGTTGTTGCTGTTTGTGAGTGCCGGAGGTTACTTGTTTTGATTGTGCAAACTCATCAGCAGAGTGCATACTGTTTGAAGTTGCCTTCAATTTTCCACCATTGGGTTGCAGTTTTAAAATAGTCTCTCTAATTAGGTATGTATGTATGTATAAAAAAAAACAAGGAGAAGGAAAAATGCATTTAAACAAAGTTCTGGCAAATCCTCATAAACATTTTCATCAGTGAATGGAAATACAAACAAGAAATTTGGATTTTTTTTTCCCCTCTTCTTGTTTATGCTACAGTAATGAGCTGAGGATCTGCGCTTTTCAAGAGTTTGACAACAGCATGTTCCTTTCTCTGAGAGAGAGAAAAATGTGACAGCTAAAATCTTCATAAAATAACTGCCTTTAGATGTGCTTTTCACTAAGACTGAGCGAGATGAATGTGCTATACATCAGCAGTGACTGCAGAGGGGTCACACAGAGTTCTTCGCTGCACACAAGAATACCACCTGTAGATGGAGCTACAGCACTGCAAGAAACGTGAATGGAGGCGCTAAAGAGATCAGATCAGTTACTTTTCCCAACAGGAGCCATTCGTGGGAACAACTTGGAGTGAAATTCTCCATTCTGTGCATTAGACCAAGAGACACAAGTTTCTTCCACTAAAAAAAAAAAAAAGAAAAAAGAAAAAAAAAGATGAAGAAAAAAGCTAAATGAGCATGTATTAGCGAGCCAAATTAATCTGTTTCAGAAGTTTAAAGTTGAGAACAATTTTGATTTAGATGAAATGGATGAAAGGTAAAAAAAAGAAAAAGGATCATTTACACTTGAAAGCTGATTTTGAGCTTTGCTGTCATTAGACAGCTTTAAGTATTTAAGTAGAATTAATATTTTAACATATGAGGTACCTCATCTGTCAGGAGTTGGACTAGAAAGAAACCTGTATACCTTATGTGAGTATTTGAACCATTTTCTTTTTGACACTGCCAGGTAGCAACTGCTTTAGACATCATTTGACAGCCTGTGAAATGCTGATTGCCTCACATCACACACTGTAAAGATGGCATTTGATGAATGTTTGATGCGGTGCAGCTGTAAACACACTTGGCAGCTGCAACGGGTGCTTTTTGGGGGCTGATAGAATCATCGTCCCCCCAGATGAGGGCAGGACAGGGTCAGATCTGGCTCCAGAGGTCTCGGGAGACCACCTGTGTAGAGCCACAGCAGTCAGCGCCATTAACCAGAACACCAGCCCGGCCAAGATCAAGGCCATAATCAGAGTTGTCATAATTGTTCTTGTTAACACTGTCCCTGAAAATGAGATGCTTTGTGAGTCTTGGATCTGCTCTTTTGTGGTTTACTGCATTGCAGTGTGGCCGAGCTTTTTGTGAGAACAGCAAGAGGACTGTGCACGCCTGTGAATTGTCTCCTTGTTCCTGCTTTGCATCTGTTTTCTCTCTGTTTGAAAAAGTTGGAGGTCTTAAAGGAGTGGGTTTCTTCGGTCTCATGGGGGTTACACTCTCCATCTCCATGGCTGTGGGAGTTCTCACGGACCGCAGTGGGAATGTGTCTAGTAGGAAAAAAAAAAAACGATAGCAGTGAAGGCGATGTGTGTATTCATGGTTTTTAAGTCTGAGATCTATTAATTATTAAATGATAGTCTGTGACTACTCGCAAACAGCTCAGCAGTGCCTCCTGATTTAACACAGTATTATTATTTAGCTGCCCTCAGATGGTTGCGTGTCAGTTGACAGCTCTTGAGGCTGGCTGAATGCAATGTGTAACCTTGGAACATGTCACCTTATTATTGGGATTTATAAGCTTTCTCTGCTAATATTCGCTTCGTTACTGCTGTGAAATTGTTCCGATTTTTTTTTCTTTTTTTTTTATGTTTTAGGACATTCAAAGCTGAGAACCATTTGATTCACTTTCTACCAAATCCTTTTTAATTCATTATTATTTCGCGTTATGAAACAACATAAATTAACTTTTAAGTGTTTATAAGTAGAGGTGTCGACACCGGTGGAAGCAGTGTTTTATCTTTGCATCTGTTGTACCTTGTTGTTTCGTATTATGCATGTTTTCAGCCTAGTTGAAGTATGCTCCGCGTTTGACCCCTTTGTGTGTGCCGTATCATAATGACTGCCTTTAACATACTCACCACCTTCCTACTCACAGAGGACACCTCTCTCCGTGCAGCTGAGGCGGCGACCTGTCCACCCCTGTGTGTGGCTGTTTCAAGGCTGGTCTTGGCCCCGACGCATTAACGTGTGTGAGCTGAGCTGACAGGGAGAGAGGAGTCCGTGCCACTCCCCCCCCCCCCACTACTCCGCCGCCCCTCCACCTCCTCAGGGGAAAAGGCTCGCATGGCAGATCTGTCACCCAGGAGGTCGCTCAGTGTTAACGCTCCCGACACGGATTAAACACTAGTGGCCAGTGCCGGAGTGCGGGGTCAGTGTAGCCACCACTGACAGGCACCACAGGGCCCCCGCTGACTGCCCCGCTCCAGCCTCGCACTGGCGCTACTCTGGCCCTGGCATGTGTCAGACAGGCAGGGAGACAACGGCCAGAGCTGGCCCTGTGAGCAAATGCTAATGCTTTTCCTCACACAGCTGCTCTTCCCTGAGTGCTTTGATAAAGAGCTATCACTACTGCACGGTACTGTGCAGGCGTGCTTACAAGCTGTGTCATTTGCGTATCATTTTGCTACCGCTAACCTTTTGTTTACAACTTTGAAAAATTAGCAAACAACAATTTCCCATGAATTAGACGACATACCACTAGCGTTGTGGTCTATTGTAAGTTTTAATTTCACCCATGGAATGTATTTTTTATGCTTGTATTTAGCTTTAAAGTCATGAGTGAAAAATAGGCTTTTGTTACATTTTAAATTGAATTCACATAAAGCTAACTAATAATAACAATTGTAAACTAAATAGAAACCTGATCACTAAATTCTAGTAACTTGGATTCAGTGTATACTATCAGTATATCCTTACTGGATTTAAAAATTTAAATATTAATTGTATCACACTACAACTGCTGAAGAGGGACAAGAGATTTCCCATTTTATTGCTCTCCTATCCGAATGTAGCGTCTCCCTTTTACCCCCTCTTCCTCTCTCTGGCTTTCTCTCTCTCCCTCTCTCTCTCTCTCTCTCTCCCTCTCTCTCTCTCTCCCCAGTCGATAAGACTTGAGCTGAGCGTATGTGAAATATTTATTCAGCGTTAGCTCAGAGCACTGTGGCTGCCCACACACTCTACCTGCCCCGAAGAGAAATCTTATCTGTGCTTCCTCTGCCTCCGACACCCCCTGAAAGCCTGTCCCCATACTGGCCCGAGCTCAACAAAAATTACGTGTCTCATTGCTCTGCATTTACAGCTACTTTAAAGCCTGCCACTCCTGTCCCCAACATAAGCCCTCTCATCCAGCCTCTGTTTAAGCTTAAAACAAAACAAACAAAAAAAAAGGACCTGCACGAGTTGAGCTGCTGCTTGCGCCTTTGATTCATATTTTTTTTAAATTTATTTTTTATTCACACTAAGGAAGTAATTCAGATTAATTTTACTGCCCTTGATTCACCCAGCAAAAGAGCATCTCCGTCAGAGTGAAGACTATTTAAGTTTTTCAAGAGATTCCTATTAATTTATTTTTATTAAATAGTCATGATTTAATTTTAATGCCTTTATATTAGTGTTTCCCATATTTTGCACATACAGTGATTCTGTCCCCCCTTTTTTTGCCTCTCACACATACGCACACATGCAGCGCACAACCGCACGCAATAAGACACAAACCCTGCAGCCTATAGTCAGTCTTAAACTCTTTCAGTATATGTTCACGTAATCTGGCATCCGTCCACAGCCCCCATGACTGACCCTCATAATGCTGGCTGGCGCTCTTCTCGCTTTGTTTAGCTTTCCAAGTGGAGTGCAACTGAAGAGAAGTAGTGAAGATAGAGCCAAGATTAAATCTTCCGTGTTTTTGGTTGGTACATAGTTTAAAAATAAGGGTATTTTTGAAATGCACCACATGAAAAAAAAAAAACCGCATTTGTTTTTTTTTTTTTAGAAACAGTAACGATATTGTATGGCTCGTGTACTGTGATATTACTCTAATTTGCCTCATCAACAGTATTATTTTTGTTACACTAATGTGATGCCTATATTTATAGCGCTTGCTGTCTGCTGTAGTATATAAGGAGAATCTTTTGGCAGCCTCGCAGTCTGACAGTATGTCTGCCAGTCAGTGGTTTAGGTTGGTAGATTGGGCCACCCCCTGTTAATCAATTTACAGAATGGTAGAAACTTTTATAGAAGGTGTCTTTGTCCCTTTGTTCCTGCTGCGATCCCTTCTCCCTCTCCTGGGAGAGTGTGGGTGGTGGGAGCTGCCATGCTTGCTCAGCTTTAAGTTATTTTATTCACACTTTTAATCGCTGAGTGCTTTATTATTAGGTGCTGGATTCTGCTGGCCAGGGGATCTGCATGAGAAGGCGCAGAATGCATTTAGTGGAATCATATTAATGGCACTATAAAACAAATCTGTCAGGCTGTTCTTAACCCTCCTGGCAGAATTGCTCTGCCCAGGGTTGCCCCCTTCTCCAAGCGCTTACAGGTGGCTAAGGAGAGTGCATCTCCATCATGTACTCCACCGTGTGCTAATAGTTTTATTAATTCATTCTTTTTTTTCCTCCCTAGGCACCCTGTGCATAATCATACAGACATTTTTCAGCTAAATGGTGTTTGTCAAGGGAGGTTTCCTACATTAGAGACACTCCTCCCAGACATACATACCAACACTTGTTCAATTACAAGTCGCTTGTTATCCAATTCTGCTGTGTGTAACCAAAATGCCCAGGTATATCATTAATTATTACCTCCCCAGGTTTTGTTTGGTGCTTCTTGTCCTTTTTGGTTCAATAAATGCCCATTTTACCACTTGTGCAACATATTAGCATTGCTGTGTTGGAGAAGTTCAAGGTTTTACTTGACGTGTGTAATTTGTTGACAGATGAAAAAAAAAAATGCCGTCGGACCCCCGAAATGAAGCCCGTCTTTGGTGGCAATTAAAAAGTGGATTATTTTTTAGACGAATTTACACTTGCTTCTAAAAGGCTGCACTTTGTCCAACGTGTCCTTTAATCACTCAGCTGCTTGCTAATAAAACATAAACCACTTAGTGGGGGAATTAGTTCTGTCTCCATTTCACAGAAACTCTGTAGAATTTGAAGAGACAAGGGGATGGTATGGTCCTGCCGCTGCTCATTACTGTGGGATATCTGACGGCAAAGTCTCAGTCTGTGCACCTGAGTGAAGGAATCTGAGAGGTTTTCCCAGATGTTTCTCTCCATCGTTTTTATTAGTGTTAAAAAAGCATGTAAATCCTGAACACATGGGTTGACATACCATGAGGGAGGAATTGAGAAGATATTTCTGACAGTTTTGGTTTATACCCTCATTTAAGCACTCAGTTTAGACACAAGGCATTGTATTTCTGTAGGCTTTTATCTTGTCCACTGAGCCAGAACGCGGTGAGCAGAAATTTGCATTAGTGGGCGATTATGAATACCTGTGACAGATTCTCTCTGCTGGCTCCCTGGGCGGAAATGAATTGGCTCCCTCTGTTGACTTGCACAGGAAGACAGAGACCAAGCAATTAGACTTTAGTGGTTAATGTAGCAGCTTTTGCAGGGAGGGCAAGGAGGTTCAACATTCCTGCTGGGCTCATGTCAGTTTCCAGGCACATTCCCCCCCTTTTTCTTTTTCTTTTTTTACGAGAATACTGGGAATATGACAAGCTACCTGTCCACCAGCCAGCAGAATTCCTCTGGGGTGAGGGGAGCGTCGCTTTAGAATTGCCTCATGGGAACTGAGGTGACAACACATGACGTAAGTTATTCATAACAGAGAGGAGATGTACTGCAGCTATCTCTGCGCATCATGCATATTCATTGTTTACCTTTTTTTATCCCTCACCAGCTCTAGTTTGTTGGTATATACGAACGCGCTTTTATAAAAATAACAGTAACATATTGTTCATATTGTTCGTTTCCTTGCATCTTGGTCTTCCCACTGTGTTCCTGCATGATGCTTTGGCTCAGCCGCCCCTTCCCAGGTCCTATTGAGGGATAATAAGCGGTACAGTGGTGAAGCCTAGGGCACTTGGGCCACAGTGTTGTCTGCATTACTCATGGTACACGTTTCCCTGGTGGCTGTTTGAACCTAGGCCTGGTGTGGCACTAGGTAGACTGGCCCCCTGAGCAACATGCACAGGCTCCGCATGGTTGCTATGACAGGAGCAGTCTGCTGTTTACAGGCCTGCTATTGAGGCCTGAAGGCCTCAGTGGTTCACATCCTGTCTCGGGCTTAACTCGAACATATTGTTCGTACTCTAAGTAGCCTCCAGCTTTTTGAGCCTAGACTGCACAGTGCTACCATCGTGTGGGTTCAGCACAGCAGCTATAGTGTGCACTTTGAAATTAACTTTGTTAAAAGAGAAAAAAACTTTGCAAGAAAGCAGAAAGGATGGAACTGATGCAAAGAATACATTCATTATGGAAAATGTATATAAAATACGAGACAATGTACATTGTGCAACGAGACTGTGTTAAATAAAAGTGGACCATATGTTGGTGTGTTGGCACTTATTCACACTATAATAGATTTTAAGCTTCCGCTTGCTGTAGGGGACATTTTTATTTCATCCCTGTCAACCTGCTGGTGTGATCCTCCTCACACATTCCTGATAATTTCAGTTGGAGACAGACTCATTAGGCTGTCACTAAATGGGTTTAAATGCAGTCGTCCAATTAGTGCTCTGCTGTGAAATGCAGTGGGTGTTGTGCAACGTGCTTAGCACCACTCCTTTACAGAATTATGAGGGATTACTCATTCAGTGTGATCCATCTTATTTCTACCAGGGGTCTTGGCTTTTCTCAGTATCATCGCCACGGAGGGGGTAAATGTTGCAAATGCTTCTCCAGTTGCCATATGTGCTTCGTCAGTGAGCGTTGCTGCCTCCGAATCTAAGAGGATTTGATGTGCTAGTTAAAAGACAGCATATCATGCCTATCCATGTCATACTTACTGTTCAGCAGTAAGGCACTCTGCCAGCACAGTGTTATTGGTGTATATACTGCAAATAGGATTTCAAGATATTAAAAGTTGAATGTCTATTACTTTCAAACCGAAAGGACTAAAATCTGTTGCCATTGGCTGCAAATCTGAGAGGCTTTACAGTACTGTAGTGCTCTTCATGAGATTTAGGACGTGGTTAAATCCATTATATATTTTGTTTTGGGAACAGGTTTGCAGAGATTTGAAAGCTGGGTGAGGGTGCTGCTGTGTGATGTGCTTTGCGTTATGCTGTCGTGTCCTGTCTCCTCAGATCTTCATTGTGACAGTGTGGCACTGGGAGCTCTTCATGCTACCCCTCTTCCTGCTGCTGCTCATCGGCTGGAACTACTTCCAGCTTACTACAGGAAGGGCCAGCTCCAACCAGGACCTGGTGAGTGACGACGACTCCTTACTCTTCAGTATTTATCCATACAGATCTGCAGCTACGTGCTTTTTTTTTTACACTGCAAAATTATTGTAAATGGCAACCTAACTCTGATTAAATAAAATCCTTTTGGTACACACTTGACAAATTAAAGCTTTATAATCATAATAATTAAATAAATAATAACTGCTTTCACACTTCCACGTGTACTGTGTAATACAAAAGCTTTTCTATAAAATGCACCTCGTACTAGAATCAGTTGTGGCAGCATTCCACACGGCTTATCGCTGGCTCGACTAGTTTCTACACCGTGTCCAAGTACCCAATAAAATATCAAGCAGTAAGAAGCCACTCAAATCAAATCACTGTAAATGTATGTATAGCTTATGGTCTTGTTGATATCGTCTCAGCGCAACTGCACTATAGTTCTTTCTACAACATAACACCATCTCCTCTCTATCTAGTGTTATGGAAATTATGCTTGCCCTACACATGCCTGTGAAGGTTAATGCTGTTCACACTTCTGACTGCCCCCCAATTTCACTGTGTTGTAAGCCTTCTTTCTGGCCAGCCAGGGGCCAGGCCTTCTCACGCACCCTCCCCAAAGCAAAATCTGTGGCCCAGTCATTGTGTTTATGGCTGCTGGCTAAGATGCCGTCCCTGGGCAATGTTAAAGCCTGGGCTCACCCTCATATCCAGAGTGGAGACACTGTCACCCCTCTGTGACCCTCTGGCCAGCAATGACACAGCTCTGTACCCAGGCAATGTCACAGTGTGCACCACAGTGGGGTCAGGGATGACTTGATATAAAGTGATCTAGGCAACAACATCCAAATTAAATGTGTTTTTTCTTTCCTCTTTCTGTTTTTCTGTGTGCTTATGTTGTGGAGAAAAGAGATTGCTTTGGTGTGACAGTGCTCTTGTGAGGAAGGCCCTTTTTCACCTCTCCTTTTGTGTGAGGTCACCCCTGTGATGCAGTCTCTATGGAAACAAGCCTCTCCCAATAGGGGTGAATGTACTCAAAGAAAATTTCATTACTAGGTGTTTGTTAAAAATGCTCCAGTGCCCACATGTCCCATTCGTTGGAAATCACCCTCTACCCTTTATTTTCTCTTAGGTGAACATGACCATGGGTGACGACGAAGAGGAAGACGAGAAGGTATTTTATCTTGTCTCTTTCTAACATTTTAAGGGATAATATGTTGTGGTAGAACATTACCACTTTTCAGTTTTCGATATAAATATATATTTTGAAACACACTGCTTTAATATTTCACAGTGATGTTACTCAGCGGCTTGTGTAAAAATCCTTTTCGGACCCCAACTAATATTTCATTCTGAATAACCAAGGTTAAACCAAACACACAGCAATGCCTGCATGCTTGTGGTGAGTACAGACCTGGTTCAGCAAATAGCTGTGATTCTTATACAAATGAACCAAAGTAAAAAGCCACGCGGGTTTCTAGTCAGTATTTTAGCATAGTCACACTGACAGTTAATTCTCAGAAGCTCTTTTCTAACTAAGAATAGAAATATTTTCATGCATTTCAAATGAGGGCAACATCTATGAAACAGTTGTAGCATGTAGCTCTTTGTTCTGCTCCTCTGGGTGTTCAGTGTCACTCTGCGATGCACTCCGCTGAGATACTGCAGCCCTTTGAAAATCTATAAATCAAATTTAAACAGCATCGTCAATTAGATTCGGAACAGCGGTCGAGGATAAAATCAGCGGGTTTTTCTCGTATCATCATCGTCTAAATGCGATAGTTACATTGAGAATAACCTTTTACTGCTAGAACAAATGAACAAAGTGCAGTAACGCAGCAGCAAACTTATACTCTGCCCCAAAGGTTATCAGTCATTTTCACTTGTTTCGTTTTGTGAGAAATCATAAATGATGGTGTTTATTATTGCATCTCTCCAGTGTGTCTTGAAAAACAAAACAGCAGGAAATCTTTAAGTAGCCTGAAAATTTTACTTCCCACAGCACATAATATTCAATTATACTCATCCCACTGTTTTCCGTAAAGAAGGAAAAGTTAACAGGGATGTGTATTATTGCTTTATGGCAATGAAGTGTGGAACTAACGCAAAGCCTCCAAGCGATGACCCTTGTGCTGCATGTCTAGGCCCAGGATTCATATCCATAATGCGCTCAATATATTCTGTTGTGATGACCAGGGGCTACAAAAAAGCCAGCTTCTTTTAAAAACACAGGCACATCCACCAAATCCTGTCTGAGAGGATGGGCTAATTCACAGATGAAACTCGCATGATATGTCTGCACACACAAAGTGGGAAAACGCACTTTCTATCATTGCTACGAACAGGCAAACTGGTGCTTGGACAAACAGCAGTGACACAGAAAATTCAGTGTTTCATGAATATTAAATTGGACAGGATTACCTTAATGCACTGAGTTTAATACCCCTGCTTCACAGAATGAATATTGCATTTTTCTTTACCTTGAAACTTCAATAAATAATAAAAGAATGTTTACTTTTTTTTAAGTTTAAGAAATGGCACTGTCTTTGGTTTATGATTCTCTCTATATGCCACGTGTTTGCAAACTCAGCCCTCGCCTCTTAAAGCTTTTTGAAAGGTTTTCCATGAGCCTTCTAAGCCCTTTCACACTCAGAGGAAATGAAATATCTCCTTTCATTTACTAATTAAGCAGTCACCCATGTTTGTTTTAAGCTGTCAGCTTTAATTTAAAGTGGCTTATTTGAAAGTCTTGTTATGGTCTTGCTGTCACTTGAATGTGATATCATGCAGTTAGATCAAGCAGTGTAGCTTTACACACCCTATCAAAGTCTTCTTTAAAAATATTTGGGGTTAAAGAGTGATCAGTGTTAAATTTGATGACTTCAAAGCCTATGCTTTTTTTTTCCCCTAGTCTCTCCTCTAACATGTGAATGAAGGCTTTTCCCTCTGAGAAGGTTATGATTACCACTCAAATATGTTTTTATCCCCCCTTTTTCCCCCTTGAGGAAGGAAATATGTAAACCTCAGACAGAGCAGCAAGAATGTGAAGGCATGACGTTAAAGAGAGACGAAAGGCAAGGCAGTGTTACAACAGGATAATACAGAACAGATTCTCTGCCTGTGAACAAATCTGTCCTCAGGGAAGGAGACAGCTTACAAATTATGTGTGGGCAAAGTGACTTCCCTTTGGCCTTAGGTATCAATTGAGCAGATAGACAATATTTAATCATAACATAAAGAAACAGAGAGGCAAAACAAGTCCATAGATCTCCAACAGAAATGAACAGGGAAGATGAAACAGCCCTTTCATTGCCCCCCGGCTGGCAGTGCTGGTCCGGGGTTGACTTGCTCACAGAGCCCAGCCCAGGGGAGTTGGGGGGAGGGTGAGGAGGTGGTTGTGGGGGTGCTAGACTGGGCTGCGGGGTTACTCCATCTCTCACCCAACAGTCCACAGTCACCGCTGGGTCTCCTTGAGCACACCAGTCAGACAGACTGCCCATGTCATGATCTGTGGCATGCATTATGAGAGATACCGCACATGAACTCAACAATACTTTAAAGCCTCATCCCGGCAAATTGTTTGTTAGCTTATTTTAGCTCCATCTGACATAAATTGCCAGGAACACAGGTGTTTTTCATTTAGACAGACTCCGTATCCTTGTCAAAAAAGTCACTAGAAAAATATTCAGACTGAGAATTCAAATTTGGCACCGTTTATTCTAATTAAAATTATGCTAAATGAGCTTTTTTCCAGCCTTTGATAACGCCGCACGTCTGTGAGAGTATGTTTACCTTTGTGCAGGAGATCAAATTGGTTCTCCATTACCACACCTTAAAAGGAAGCTTTTACAATTTTATCTGAAATGAGAATATGATTTCACACAGGTTTTCTACTCAGTAGACATTTAGGACTCATTTAGTCCATCCCCAGTTTGCCCATCCTTTTCCATTTAAGAAGCAGATCTTTTATTTATTTTTGTTTTTTCTGCACTCATGAACATACTGAAAAGAAAGATGAACAAAGACTATCATCACATGATTAATGTAGGAAGGACTTCAGTTTTGGTCGCTAAGGAGATGGAGGATTTCAGGAATCTTAAAGCAGATGAATAATGATAATCATGAGAGCTCTGCCTCTTGATGCATACTTCAGAGTACATCTATTTGTCTGTTTTTCCTTTTAGAAATGAAAGCCAATATGGTTTCTCTTTTCTTCCTGCTGGAGCTGTATTTCAAGCTAGATTTACCGTGCATGCGTATCCATTGCAGTTAAATAATGCTTCATATCTCATAATACAATTTGAATTCCAAATCATGTAATTGGGTCGCTTAAACAAGTTTAAACGGAAATATGAAAAGGAATGCCTACTGTAGCTGATGTGGCTCCGTATCAAATGAGCTATCATTTCATGATGTGTGGCGCTCTGGATCCATCAGGAGCTTACCGACACAGATTGCAATGGCTTTTAGCAGACTCTTACAGTGTTCCCCTGCTTTCAAAATAAACTTTGGATAAAGAGCTCAATTAACACCTGATGTGGAGTAAAGGACACACATGAAGGTTTGCTCAGTCACATGCTTGCAGTGGAGTGCAGCACGATGATGCATAAACACAGATAGTCCTCTTTCCCCATGATGAGACCAGAAGATGTTAATCTCAAAGAAAGCATATTTGTGATACTTTTTCCTTTTTTGGACAGTGCTGAGCCTTCAGTGTCTGTCCAGATCCGAGCCCAGTGGGGGAGGCTCTGCTAGTGTGGGAATTGCTCTCTTCCTGCGCCTTTCGTGGAGGAGAGTGGGCCCAGCAGTGGGGAGTCTCTCTGTGCTGGCAGACAGTGTGTTCCCAGGGGCTGCCTCATGAAGCTCTGATAAAGGCATTCTGTCTGGGCCCTGTCAATGCACACAGGCTGCGGCTTCAGCTGACTTGTAACACAAACATATAGACATCCTCAAGCCTCCTGTTAGGGTCCATTAGAGCGCCCTCCCCCCAACACTCTCATCCCCCCTCCTCCTCCTCTCCTTCTCACTCTTCCTCTCCCACCCTTCTCTCTGTCATCATTCCTGTCATTATTGCCTCCTTTTGATGTGAGGCTTCTCAGCCCTCTTTAGCTTGTGTTACTTGTGTTATCTCTAGTCACTCCTCTGCCCTGGAAGGCTTCACAGTTGTCATTATTTCCCAGCTTGATGCGATCATATTTATTTAATTCTGAGACAAACACTCTAACCCTCTGATGTACTGACTTATTGCTTTGCCAGGCTCATTAGAATCTCAGTGCATTTAAAGCACATAATATTTTATGATGATTGCGATGAGAGTCTTGCATTTAAAAAAAAAAAAAAAAAAGCGAGCAAGTACATATCCAACTGGTGTTCTAAGCAGGCTGAAGTGTTTTTTTTTTCTAATGCAGAGGGAATGTTAGGATAGGTTAGAAAGCCAGGCCCGGCAGATTTGTTAAAACATGTTGAATCTCGTCCTGTGCAGGCTGCTGGAATGGAATCTCTCCGAAGTTGCGAGGCCCCTGCACTTCTTGTCTAGGTCGTCTAGTCTGCCTGATTGCAGATGGCCATTTTGTGTACTTTTCATCTACCGGAGAGTCTTGATTGTGCTGCACTTGTGCAACAGCTCTATTGTGTGTGGTGGACAAAAGCTGAAATCTCTCAGCCATCCACATAACAGCTTCTGAGCACCGAGTCTGTCTCATCTTCAAAAGCATAGTCTGAAGATGTACAGTGTTTGCTCATTACGGGCCATTCAATAGATAAATCACACATAATAGCACAGCAGAGATAAACTGGTCTTTGTCTACCCCTGCCCAACAATTGACATACACTGTACCTCATCAGTGTCTGTGCATTTTTTTGTTCCGTTTTAGGAATCCGGAAAAAAGGGTTTGATGGACAAGATACATATGGTGCAGGAAGTAGTGCTGGCTGTCCAGAACGTTTTGGAGGAACTCGCCAACATTGGAGAGCGAACCAAGAAGTAATTGGACTATTTTATTTTTAACCTGCAAAATATTTTTATTTAATTTTGTATGTATTTAATTTGAATACATATATTTTAATTGAGCTTCACTTTAATTATTTTACAGCATTTTCAACTGGTCTGTCCCATTCTTGTCATGCTTGTCGTGTTTGGTGATGTTCGTGTCAGCAGCCTTGTTATATTTCATCCCACTGCGATACATTGTGCTGATATGGGGTAAGATCTGCACGCAATAACACAATTTAATTCACAAAAGTGCTAATGAAAAGTCGCGTGTTGGGTGAAAAGCAAAACCTATCAAACTCCCACTATGTGTTTCTTTCCTGGTAGTGCTATGACCAAAAAACATCCTCACAAATCGCATGAAAATCAATGCCTATATCACTGTTGCAAAACACATCTCTTATTCAATATTCCTAACTGCAAATCCATGATTTAATGAAGTACAGTAATTTAAGAACTCTGCCATCTCTACACCTCTGCAAATGCACAGAGATCAGACAGCTGCAGAGGTTCGCTCTGCCCAGTGTGGGCTGATGTAGCAGAGCCCAGCAGAGGCATGACCGAGGGTTTGTGTGAAAACAAAGCAGAGGTAGAGTAGCAAGCTGTATATAATACATGATGTCCTTGGGCAGTCTGTAGGCTCCTGGTCTAGCCTCTCATTATCTGCTGTAGTCATACAGAATAGACCGTCATCTCAGTGGTCAGGGAGATATGCTGCCCTTAACAGGCTCTCCTCCTCCAGCTGTAAGCCCACAACCACTGTACTTCCACACTGCCTTCAACACAATCAATACCAAAAAACCACCATATCAAACAAAAAACACACAGTCTGAGACACTCCTCTGCCTCCCCAGTTAACCCCCATCTCTGTGGTTGCAAGGCAAGCCTTTCAAGTTGCTTGCACATATTTAAGTCCTTAGGTTCTTTGTCTGCATGCTGAGGTACAGGCAGTACCGAGGTGTGAATATAATGGTCCCATTACAAGACCCCAGAGATATTATTTTTTTTTCCTCTCTGGTATGCAGCTATGTGCAAAGTAAATATAGATGTTCAAGAAATGACCAGATTGAAGCAAACAAAAGTGAGAAAAAGTTGAATGTGTGCTTGTTGTTCAAATTAAAGTAACACATTGATCAAGCATTGCTTCCACCTAACTTGTCTCCACTTTGTTCAACTGACTTAAATGTATTTTGGCTTAAAGGGATCAACTGGATCAGCGTCGTGTATATAGAGCTGTTACTGAAACACTGGTGGGAGGTCTACACTGGGGTTACACAACTTTTTATTATTGTTATAAAACTATACTGGTTGCTGTGACACCTTTATTTATTAATGTGTGCTTGTTTTCACAGGTGTTAACAAATTTACCAAGAAGCTGCGCAACCCATATACTATTGACAATAATGAAATACTGGATTTCCTCAAGAGGGTGCCTTCTGATGTTCAAAAGGTAAGGGTCCAATTTTACATACAGATAGGGAGGGAATTCCCTGTAGATGTCTGCATTATTTGCTGTACCAGAATTCCCAAGTGTTGCAGAAATATATCCTCTGGCTTTGTTTGATTATTAATGGACTCTCGCCTTTAAAGCAGCCCTGGCCCAATTATTCCTCAGTGCAACACCATGTAGTCGCTGTAGCGCCTGAATGAGGAGACGCTCAGATCCGTCCTCTGGCGTACTGCTCCAGCTTTGTCTGTTATTAGCAATTTTTGCGTGCTTGATTGAGGCGCTGTGACATTAAAGTTGGTGATTGACTGAGTGCCGGCAGGAGGACTCCTGACGTCTCTGGCTGTTGTGTCAGCACAGAAACTCTGATGTGGCCTCAGTCACTTCAGGGTGGTGGAGTCAATTAATGTAGTCGCGAGCCCCAGTCGTCTTGCTGGGTGCCATATGTGATTACATATTAGCCATGGCTGATATGTCATTTGCATTTACATCACAGAGCTGAGAAGAGCTGTCAGGGCGTTATAAGTGGCGCCGGGCGCTCGCCGTTCTCTCGCTGAGAATTTTTTGCTTAGCCAGGAAATGAAGTGCCACACAATGCCTTCATCTCGCAGGTAACTCACCAGACAGAATTCAGCAAGAAAACCCTGACAGTCTGGATCTGGCAAGACACTCTCACCCCAGTCTGTTTCTCAGCTGCACCCTTGATGTCCTCCTGCAGCAAGCCATTGCTGACTTCTCTGTGATGTTGGAGGGAGCCTGTGTTGTTTGAGATTTGGCTGACTGAGTTGGCAAAACAAGGTGGTGAATACATTTTGATTCAGAATCCTTTGTATGTCTTCTTCCCCATTGGGATACAATGTTTGAGCTTTGAAAATGACTCACTTTAAAATCCCGTGGAAACAATACTTTTTAGCCTGGTTTAAAAGAGGAAGTACATCTTGAAAATAGCTCCAATCATAAAAAAAACAAAACACCCTTAAGATTCATCATAAGTACGTTTCATTATGTACTGTGAAAAATAACCTTAACATCATATACACAGGAGACCCAAAACAATAGACCACATATTTTGTTTTTGTTGACTTAGAACTTCAATCCTCAGATAGGTGTGGACACAAAACACCACAAAGGCTGAAAATTGACTCCTGTCTTTCTTGCAAATGTGACTTGGCAATTAGTGCCTGTGCACATCTACAAAGTCTGCCTCAAACGGGGACTTCTGACAACACTGTGTCTGTCTTGAAATAAGAAGCATCTGTCAGTTCTGAGGACAGTTTCATGTTCTGATGCAGGAGGCAGTCACTTTGTTCCCACATTCCATCTCCCATTCTAATAATGGAGACCAGCTAATTAGCATAGAGTTCTTACCTTTATTCAACAGATTCACCGTATTGTTTGAGCTCAGCAAGCAGGCTTCAAAAGCAAGTTTTCAAATTCCAACTCTTCTTTTCAGTTTACCCTATGATCAGTCTTCTTTGGATTATGATGGCAATTTTGGTGGTAATTTTGAAACGAAAAAAACAATTTAATATAATTTTTTGTGTCAAAGTGAACATGATTCTACAACATAAGCCTGCATTCATTTTCTACGCGTGTTTGAACGTACAGGAATTCCTGAAAAAAAAGGAAAATTTGAAACATGGGTAAATCTTTCTTGAGCTGAATTCTACATATGTAACCTGCAGAAAAATAACAAGGTTGGAAGTTCAAACATCACATTACAGGTCTTGTTTTAGCCTGAAGAAATCGAAGTCGCACCAAGGGTTTGTAAAGTCAAGAGGAGAGTTACACGTCAACTGATGTTGGTAACTTCTCAACTTAAACAACACTAAACACTAACAAAGTTTTCTTCGGGGGACAGAACTTATAGTGAGTGATTATACTGTTTGCAACTCCCTCACTGGCCTGGCAGGTCATCTCAACAGTTGATGTCTGTTTCTAATATTGTGATTCTGGTGCAGAATGAGGGGGGCGTACACTGGTACAGAACCCTTGACTCCTCAAATCCTTCCTCCCTGTGATTAATCCCCTCTGCTCCTGTGTTTAAAAAATGATTCATTACAGGCGAGCCCGCCTCGCTTTCCCCTGCACCAGCTCTCCTCAGGGGAGCCATTACCGTGCGCTCCACTGAGCTCGGATTACCTGCCTCTGACCAAACTCCTGTTTGTTTTTACAGGTGCAGTACAGTGCGCTGAGAGCGCCCACCAGCCAGAGCCAGCCGCGGAGGAAAAAGTAAGCTCCATAGACACGCTGGATGAAAGGCTGGTCTCTTTTTAAATGTGGTACGATGCAGTCCACCTGACAACAATGCTCCGGTGCCAGCAGAGCCCATGACCCTGTGCACCCCACCACACCACCCTAAGTCTGCCCCCTGCTGCTGAGGGGCAGCCAGCCACTCTCTGGCTTGTGTGTTTGCCACCCCCCTGACAGGGGCTGTGAACTGCAGCGGCTAGGAGGGCAGCACATGGCGCTGTCAATCACAAGCTTGGAGGTAAAGAAAAGAGAGCATTGCAGGGCTCAGCCTTCATCTTTGGATATAATTTAGAAAAGGAATGAAAAGCGTCGGGTTTGGCTTTCCTAAGACCTTCCCTGTTTTACTTTTTTTTTTACTTTAGTGAAACTGAGAAATTTGCCTTAAGGTAAAAATAATACGAGCTTAACAAACCTCCACAATATACTTCTTTATCAGTGTGTTAATTTACTTAAAGGTCAAGAGGTTGTGTATATTTTTAAATAATCAAGCAGAACTAATGTCTTTTGCTGCACATTTAATATGTTAGGACAGAGTATGGAGTTTCACTGTTTTTTTGTGCAGTGGATTTGCTGTATATATAACAATGCTGTCAGCTTCCTTCATTTTATCTCAGCAAGAAAAAATCTATTTATGTACTTATGTGTATTATTTCCAGCTGCCTTTTCTTGAGTGAAGTTTCTGCATTCGGTGTATGTTAGATTTAAAGTTTTTATTTCTGCTCAGTATCATGTCTGCATCACCGAATGGAGAATTTGTAAGAATCCTGAATAAAGAATCTTGATCAGTTTGAGTTCTTGTTTTTTGCCTGCGTTTTTTCAATAACTGCACTCTAGTGAGGATGGATTACACCACTTCTTTACTTGAATACACAGTAAACACATCTGATTACACAACACAGCCATTGAAACAGAGCTCACACACCGGCCACCGCTGCGCCTTGGTTACTGAGCTCACATCAAAGCTGTGTGGCTCCAGTGTGCTTCCTAATGCATTGCTTTGTTGCCTTCTCACAATAACAGGGTCCAGATGAGAGAGAAAGAGCTCATCTCACAGAGAGTACTCTCTCCATCCTCAGCACTTAGTGCTTTATATTTCCACTAAAATCACCTGGTCTATCTAATGGTTACACACACACGTACTCTGTTTTTCCATCTGTCTTCCTGCAACAGTTTTTCCAAGTGGAGGGATGGAGTGTATCATCTATCAGTGTTCCCATACATGCAAAGAATAATCAATTAATGACACCTTTTGCTATTTTGCAGAACAGTTAGGCCTCATTATACTATTCTCGTAAATGTACTACAGTGTGAAAAAAAGAAAGTCCTTCAAGATATTTACAGTACGTACTGCACAGTATATGAGCTGGTGTACATAAGTGGCACTTAAACCTTTACCGAGCTTGCACGTGTTTGCATGGAAACATTTCTTTTTTTCATCCTTTACCTGTGTGCGTCTTTCTGTTAGTAGACAAATGGCAAGTACTCTTCTTTTTTTTTTTTTTTCTAATATATATACTTATAATTGAAGTTGAGCTGAACTGAGAAATAGACCCCAGCAATGGGAGTTTGTTCCAACTGATTGGGGGACTGAGCATCGCGGCCGGGTGCCCCCCTCCCTCCTCAGGAGTAGCACGCTGGTGAAAGAGCATCCATCTGTGCTTTGTGAAGAGTTTGATTGGCTCAGGGGGACCTGGTGGAGCCCCGGGCTATCTCTTTTGACAGGCTGATAGAGACATCACTGGGCTCTCCCAGGAGCTGCCACCAGGGGTCCATTTCAAAGTGAGAGGGTGTGGAGGTGACCCTGAGCTTCTGACGAGCTAAATCCCACACACTGGCTGAAACCCTCCTACATTCTTGGCTCCATTGGGGCTGGGGGGCTGGTTTTGGCTGTGCTGAGAGGAGGGCAGCGCCGGGGAGGGGTGTTGGAGGGGTACAAGCAGATCACTAGAAAGACCCAATGAAATGTCCCCAAGAGGTGAAACCAATTAAGCGGTACTCCCAGGGTACGTTTAATTGACATTTTAGCAAACAACCAAATTGCGTCTAAAACTCTGACAGAACACATGAAAATAAGGACCTGGCAGTCAATGGCCACAGAAAGTCCAATTTAACTAACATCATCACTTTGGTGAACAGCAGTTTTTAAGTTGAAAACATATCATGTCATGGGCATATATATTATCGAGGCAAATGCTGCCAGTGACATTACGAGAGGTCCTATGGGACTACGGTTGCCTGCCTCCAAGCTGTCAAATCTTCGAATCTGTGGCACTGAGGTTGTGGACTTGGATGTTCCTGATATCATTCATATTCAATGGATCATACAGAAGTGTCTGACAGGGTTTCAACAATTGTTGATTCACCTTTGCATGCACCAATGCACACTCATGCTACTTAGTAATACACACATACAGTACACACACACAAACACACACACACAGACACAGACATAAGCCCCTCTTCAAAGTGGCGTGATCATATTTAAGGAATTATTTATCAATGTATTTTCTCCTGGGACAGATACGAATCTCACCAGAGGAAGTCACTGTGCAATATGGTCCCTGAATGTGGTGGGGAAAATCCCTGGATGTTTTACAAGCCCGCTAATGAACATTTCAGCCACACAGCAGTTAACATTGTCTGATCATATTTTTTTCTCCAGTAGTTGTTGTTGTTGTGCATGGTGTGGCAGTGATGTCTTCATCAGGCTGTCAAAAAGGAAGTGCCTGCAGCTGTGGCGGATCCCCCCAGAGCCTGTCACACTCCTTGTTTCCATGGCAGTCCTTCAGGCAGCACCACAGGCAGGCTGTGTGCAAGGACCCATACAACCTGTTTTTTCAGCAGCCGCTCCTCTGATGTTCAGCCCCGGAGCGGGCGTCAAACTACCAAGTGCAGAGAGAGAGAACACTGCACCCTTTCTCTCTCTCGCAGTTCTGCGTCGCTTTACAAGGAGATGCATAGCAAAAAAAAAAAAAAAAAAAAAATCCTCATTTAAATAAGCCACTGTTCTCAACACCTCCTTAGTAATTGCTACATGTGCAATGCTGTTAAGGTTCTCTGACCTCCTCTCCGAGAGACATAATGCACACAGTAGGACAAAGTAACAAAAGCACCACTCATAGTTGACTTACATGTGTTAAAGCTCTTATGCATGTGTTATTTGGTCTCCTTGTACCACCTGAGAAGCAGGTCATGGAGATCAGTGGCTGCGCTGCAACTCCCAACTGGCTCAAATTAATGGTGCAGAGGTTATGGTCTGCCTCCAGACAGAACCCTGACACCAATAAAGAGCAGAATTTGCTTGGCATCAGCTCAGTGGAAACACAATACGAATGACAGAACGTGCTGCGGTTGCTACAGTTACTGACTGTTTTGCCTACTGTATAGAAACACATTTACATGAGCAGGCTGCGTTGGGAGTTTTTAAAATGATCCTGCTTTTGCTGTTTGTTCTGGAATGTAGCTTAAACGGGCGGCACATGTCTTTAGTCTCTCCCGATGATAGACAATATAAATCATGGTAACCGAGGCTGATGTTGTCTCTGGGAATAGGGGTGGGAATATGACTGAGATAACAACAGAGAGAAAAACGGTCACTAATAGCTGCTGTTTTCAGTGGCTCCAGTTTACTAATAATTCATTTTGTGGCCCACAGAACACACTGGTGTTAAGAGATGGCAAAAGCCATAATTCTTTATAGCATCAAGAACAGAAGATGGCCTTTAAGAGCTGAAATTAAATCATTGGCCTTTAAAAGCATCTCTCTAAGGGGCGAGCTGCATTAATAAATTCAACTGATTCTGCTTTAATATTATTCAGAGTGCATTAAAATGAAGACAACAGCTGGGATCATGCCCAGTCTCGAGAGCATTGCTTGGGCCAATGAGTGCCGACGAGATGCAAAGCATGTCTAAGCACAACCTTGCGTTGTGGACGGGGGGAGACACGAGGTCTCGGTGTTACAGGTGCAGGCCTGACAGTTGCTGTTCTCGGATCAGAGGTTGCTCGGTGCTGACACTGGCCACAGGACAGCTACTGCCTGCCTCAAAAACAATGTCACATGGGACGCCCCGCCACCCAGCCAATCCGGCCGGTTATTGCCAGAAACATGACAGCACTGCTTATGAGAACAACAAGAACCTTCGTTGCTATTAAACGCTTTGTTTTTTTTTATTGTCACTGTATGGAAAAGTTATGGGCTTACTTGGTTCTGGTGAAAAATGGAATGGGACCATAGGCAAAAAAAAAACCCACCGCTGCTTTGAAAAAATGAGAGGAAATAATGTGTTAAGCTTTCTAACATTTGGTGTTACATCAGTGCTCTATAGTTAGCACGAGCACATGCGTCAGGAAACAATACAAAGAATAATTGAACTGCATATTTCATTCTAATTAACAGTGATATAACGCAATGTGACTCTCAGCCTCCTGAGGAAAGAGCACCATATTTTGTTTGATGAATCTGCTAAAGCCACAGCTAGTCTCGCCACTAACCCCTGGGGAATCAGGTATCATTAGAGATATGAACAGATCTGCTTTTTGTCTCGGTGAAAGAAGGGGAAAAACACATTTTCTCAGTGCTGGCACATGGGTGAATGTGAAAGTGTTCAATATTAATAGCCTTTCATCAAGGACACAATTAGGACACCTCTATTTGACACATTCTATAGGTACAGAATGAATATGGATATATGGTCCCAAGGAAGGAGTCACCGGCTGAATAACAAAGTGAAATCATCATCAAACCCAGCAAGAATGGAGAATGCACAACATGACAATCGGGGAGCAGATGTATTTTGATTCAATGTAAATTTAAAAGAAGCAAGAGACTGCAAGTGTATCACTATTAGCCTGATTTATAATTCACGGCCCAGGGCAAGCTGTATATTTATCCCAATTAGCATATATGCTGCTATGCAAACACATAAATGCGGCGCACATGTAAGAGGGAACGCATTACAATTGCATGGTACACTTGCATTAGTTAAACACTTTGAGAATGCATAGGCTGCACTTGTGTGTTTCGGTATTTCAGTTCTTTACCAGAGAATTCAAAAAAAAAAAAAAAGAAAAACGATTAAACCCCAACACTGGTCATGGATCAGTCAGAGGTTCGCACGGAGCAGATTTGATTAGTGGGTGCTGCTAAAGATATGTAATTTTCTACACCAGAGGTTTGTGGTGCTGACTGCAAAGCTAAGGTGTGAAGAGGGCTGTGGTGAAGTGAGGAGACTAATCACATGTGTATCACCCCTGAGCACTGTCTCCTCCAAGCTCTGCCACATTATGACACCATGGAGTCATGTAGCACACAAGCACAGTTAGGCCCATTAACCACAGTGGCTAATTATCGGCTCCTACAAGGTCTTCAAGCTCTCAGGCAATGCATGCTCTCATTTCTGATTAAAAACATAAATGCGCTCGAAAAAAAGAAAAAAAAAAAAAAGAGGATCAATTACAGCGAGGCAGAAAAGATAACAGCCCTGTACCAGAGTAATTAGGCTGGGTGTTTCATCGGAACCGCTTATTCTGTGATGAAGGTTTAAAGAGTCCAGTGGCAGAAACACCACAACTGTGTTTGTTTTATTTATGATGCTGCAGTGTCACCCACCGGGGCCCAATTAGCCAGCGACTGATGCCTTGGAAAGCATCTCTCTTGCTCCTCTTTGACAGGAAATGAAAGCTCCACTTGCGTATGTCCTTCTAGTGACCTGTGGGGCTTCAACCTGTTAAAGCCGGACCAGCCAGTAGCACTGACTCCCAACGTGCCGCCACAACCTCCGTCCTCCAG